CTCGCCCCATCTGGCCGTGTTGCATGGCATCACAAGCAAGTGAGAAATAAACGTCCATCATGGACCAGCTGACGGGCCATCACGCCGTCGTGTGAGAGGATATGTTCCGCCCAAAGTCGACCTACACGAGGCGAACAGCCAGTCCTGCTCATAACCAACCCTTTGGGGACTCGGATCGCCAGGGGCCTCTGACACCCATCACACGGCTGGCAACCTCGTGTCGTCAGTCCGCCGGCGGGATCGACTGCACCAGACTAGGAAAGCAAGGAGCATCCCATGGCTTCGCATTCCATGGCTTCGCATCCCATGGCTTCGGGTCGATCAAGATCATGGCCCATGAGCTAAGGCGGTCGTGTTTTTGGTATTTGTGGTCACCTATGCGCTTCTTGGTCCACTCACCCCTTCATCCAATGGCCGGAGAAAGCAGCGCGTGGCCCAAGTGTCATGCTTGTCGCAGATCTTGGACTGTTCCTTGATGAGCCTCCCATGGTTCGAGATAGCCATCAGAAAAGGCATTGTCGATCCGACCCTCGACGTACGATGGAAGGAAAGTAGAGGCCGGGATGGCCCACCACGGGTGTGCCCGGGGCGCGGACCAATGTGATGGGCGTCGGGGATGGAGGGAGAGACGGAGGCAAGGAACACGGAACCGGATTTGGGAAGTGGTTCCCTCAAGAACATGGACTGGGTTGGGCTATTTCTGGGTGTTATCTTCGCTGCGCGCAGACAATAGTACCCGTGTGTACGGATACATGCACTGACATACGGATATTAACCAGAAAGAAGCGTTCGCTCAAGAGGGGAGGAATGGGGTATGGACTTGGCAAGCCGCAAGGGGAACCATGACTGTGACGAGGCCCAAGGTCTTCGGCGTTTGCAGCTCTTTGTGGCCGTGTTTGCAGGATGCCACTGCTGGGCGGCCGTGCAAGACAAGAGCTATCGGCGGCCGTTGCAACTGACCATTTTCAGCTTGACCAGGATCAGAGACCGTTCGCTTTGGCAAAGGCAGGATAGAAGGGGATGCCGACGCGCCAGAGAGGCTAGCCATATCAGTGGCGTCGGCCGGTCCTGACCACCCTGAATCTGGGGTTGCAGGAGCCCTGCGCTGGCTGGCCGCAACATCTGTGCAGTGGTTGAAACATGAGTCGAGATACAATCCAGATTAAGTTCAGAAGGACAAAATCGGGGGGAGAGAGCTCGCATCAGAGGTAAGTGGGATAGGCTTGGCAGTGGTTTGGGGCGGGCGGGCAAGGCGAGCAGAGTAGCGAGAGTTGGAATTACGGGGGCTGGCATGTTATGCTAGTTTAAGTGTCTCTCTCTTCTGTTGGTTGGTTCGAGTGACCAAGTGACCCGTCGCCCTTGAACGCGGCGCAGTGATGGCATTGATAAGCGTTGCCAATGGCTGAAGCCACATCGGAATCGATGATGCTTCTTATCGTGCGCAGAGACCAGTGCCAGTTTTTGTAATTCTCTGGAGGATCCGGGCCTGAACCTGCAAGGTATTGGTGGCGGGGTAGGCGGGCCACAGAGTCGGAGCAGGATGATGGGCGTGGTTGGTGGTGGTGCGTTGCTGTGCCGGGCTGGGCTTCTTGTAACTTCACCTTGCCGAGCTGACCGAGGGACCTGATTCGCTTGATTCACGAGAGTGCAGCTTAGCACGGTGCGGGGGAGCCGCCCGCCTGCCATAGCAGAGAGAGTGAGCAGCGGGGGAGATGCAGACACATGTGTTGACGGGTAAGAAAGAACATTATTGCCTGGATAAACCATGGCCAAGGCCATTTTCCATGACCTGGCGATGACGACGACGACGACGACGACGACGCATTTCGCCGATGTCTCTGGTTTGCCATGATGGGAAACTTATGCTTGGCAATCGGCATGGTATCGGGTGCGAAGAAAGATCGGGTTAAGGCTCCGCGAGAGGCATGCTTCTCTAGCAGGCAGTTTGACTTTCTGCCAAAGTCTGTATGGTGGTGAGAGGATCAGGCAGACAAAATAAGCAGGCGGAGCGAGCTTCTTCCTGATGCAGTGAGGCATTTGACGACGGTGATTGGGGGAAAGTTAAGCGTCTCGTCAGAGGATGCAGGATCTGGGTGGTGGTGGGTGGGGCGCTTGGGATTCTTCGGAGCGGAACTTCATTCTTTTTGGCATTTGTTACCAAGGTCGGTGTGACAGGACCGAACGTGTTGCCCCCCCCCCCCCCCCCCCCCATCGACGGGCTTTGCTTCTCGTCCTCATCCTCGTTCTTATGGAGACGACATCCCGTGAACCATGAGCCCGCCTAGGAATGGGCCGCTGTCGGTGAGTGGGTAGTAGACATATGGGGTGGTTGGGAATGGGAACCGGGGCAGGTTTGGTGGGTTCCTATTGGCAGACCATAGGCTTTTTTAGCTCGATGCAGCTGTTTCAATTCGACAGCGATGGGGTCAAGTTGTGTCCCCCAGACGGACTGTGTCTTGTTAGTTTGCTTTTTCTCTCTCCATGACTTCTTTTGTCTCCTTTGACGGTGCCAGCCGATGAGGGGTTTCTGGTACCTGACATCCGCAAACAGAATCTTGGACGGAAAACTTTTCCATCTCCTTCTGGATCCGCCATGGCGAGTTGGAAACGACCATCGGCAGGCCGCCGTGTGTTTTTTAGATGAGACTGACCCGAAGCAGAGCAGTCCGAGAAGGGGGTGGCCTGCCAACCGTCTTGTGTCTCTCAAAGTCTTTGTGGAAGGTTATGCCTGTGTGCGTAGGAAGCCGTTTGAGCAGTGTACTAAGTGCTGCCAACGTTGATCAAGCAAGACCCGCCGCGTCCATCCCAAGTCGTTCCGCCCAGTCTCAGACCGTCTCCCTCTCTCTGAAGTTTTGGGACTGTTACTGTTCCATTGCTGCTTCGGCCTTGGCCTGACGATGTCGTAGGGTAACGTGGGATTGCCAGACGCAGTACTGTGTTTGCGTCTGCGTCCGCGTCTGCGCCCCTCTCGCACGCGCGCGTATGCCTGTGTGCCTGTGTGCGACACGTCCGGATACTGGGCGGATAGGCTTGTTCGTGTATGTAGGTCATGCTCTCTTGCGACTGCGCTCGGCATGCGGCGTCAAGCAGGTCATCGATAGAGGCAGCCCATGCCAATGCCAATGCCAATGCTTGTTGTGATGCCTCTGGATAGCCGGCCTCCACCACGACTTGCATTGCTGCTCATGGTCGCGTAGTCCCAACACTGAACCGACAAAGTCCCCTTCCTTTCAAGGCTTAGCACGGTCTCGTTTTACCCTGCTTCCTTCTTTGCCGTCGGCGCGACGTCGAATCCCCGTCTGTCCCCCCTCGTCGATAAACCCCCGGAGCAAGACCCAGATATTTTTTCGTTAGTCTTGGTTTCTCCAGTCTTCCGCCCCGAGTCTTCGGGCTTCTCATTTGGTCACCTGAGGTCCATGAGCCCGCCTTTCCACTCAATTCACTGGTACCTCCTGGGTGGGGGGACATACCCTTGGGAAAAAGGCGCAGCATAAACAAAACACTATCACCTTGTCGTAGTGTAAACAAACCCAACCCAGTCGCCCCAGCAGCATTTGAGCGAGAGAAAAAAAAAAGCATTCGTTTGGATTCTTTGGACCAAACACGCCGGAAGCAACCTCTGGAACACCAAGCCGTCTGGGCTCGTCCTGAGAGACTGCAACCTTAAAAGCCAGCCGCCTAGAGGCCCCAAACGACGCCACGCCATTGCTCCCGCTTTAGAAGGGTTACCCCTCCTTCTTCTCGGCCAAAGTCTTACTCGTCTTGCTCGATGTCCTCGATCCTTCTCCGGGCGCATTTTCTTGGTCCCCCCCACGTGCTCCATGCCAGTTGAGAAAGGAACGAGGCTGAACCAGGCGTAGCCAAGCGGGTTGCGGATACTCGGCGCACTTTGGCGGTGGCCTGTTCTGTTGCCGAAGCGGCCGGTGGACGGTGGCCCTTGTGCAACTGCTTAGGGTGTGGTGGTGTCTTGTGTCTCGTTTCCCCCCGTTCTCGTTTTCCCTCCCCTCCCTCACACCTTGTTTCTCTGCCGGGGTCGGTCAAAGTCGTCGTCCTTTGCCATTCGCAGCACGACCAAGTAGCAACACCAATACCAACGGCAACAGCGACAGCTCGAGTGGGAGACAACGGTGCAGCTGGGCTGACTTACCTCCTTCGCACTCGGGTCGAGCCAACTGCTACCGAATCGGTGCAGCGGTGGGCAGTGTATGCTGAAAACGACAAGGTGAGGCATGCCCAGACGGCAGCCACACGCTCTCCCCCCGTCGCCCATCCTTTCCCATCCCATCCCATCCCATCCCATCGGCCTGGGGACTCCGCCCATTCCGCTGCGTCAGTCAGCCTGTCGCTCCCACCTTTCGCCTCGCCCATTAGATAACAACCCCGGCGCCGCTCATCTCGCTCCCCCTCCCGTCTGGGTCCAACTCTCACCGTATGTTGAATGACATGGCCGCCGCTTGTCCGTCCTTGTGGGTTTAAAGCCGGCTCACTGTCACTACCACGGTCAGCACCGTACACACACACGCACACATACACACATACATACACATACACACACGTTGCTAGTCGTCGTTTCCAGCATCGAAACCATAACTCTCGCCGCCTTCGTCGTCGTTTTGTACCTCCATTGCCTCGATCCATGCATCGTGCCCGGTGGTCATAATCGCTGTAAGAGAGGCGTCTCCGAGACTGGGGTGCGGTCTGCGGCCTCGGCCTGCATGGTGGAGGCAGCTTCTTGGTCTGGCAGCCTGCCATCACCATCACCACTTGGACAACCCCCGCTTGGAAACCGACAAGTGCAAAGCCGACAGCACACGACTGCAATCGAAACGAGCAAGACGCCGTTTGCGCAGTGGTAGTTGGGCGTAAAAACGAGAGAAGAGAAAAAAGAGAAAATCAAATCAAAAAAAAAAAAGGAGAAAGAAACCCATCCCAGAGTGCAACGTTTGTAGCGTGGCTTGTGGCTTGTGGCTCGTGGCTCTTGTGGGGGACGTCAACCGACGATGGCTTCGTATACGGATGTAACGGGCGCGGCGAGCTCAGGGAAGCTCTCCAAGACGCGAAGCAAGCCAGTGGTGAAGCCGATATTGAAAAAGCTGTCGCATTCAGAAAAGAACTCTTTGGACCTTGATCGAGGGTGGGATGAGCAGCAGACAACGTTTGGGCATTATGGTGGAAGTCTAGGAAGAGAGAGGGAAGGGTCTTTCGGGGGAAGGGACGTCAGCTTCAGTATTTCGGCGACGGAACTCAGCCACAGCAGCAGCATCGGAAACGGAAGGAGCAACTTCTCGCATGCTCGCTCGACCAGTGGCACCTCCCACGTCAGTGTAGCGACCAGCGGCAGCGGCCACCGCAACGGCGGCAGCTTCGTCCATCCCTTCCAGCAGACGCCGCGCACCTCGACACCGCCCCTGTCCTACGCCAATTCGCTCGCCAGCATCGAACACGGCGGCAGCAGTAGCGTCAGCAACAGCAACAGCAACAGCAACAGCAACAGCAACAGCAACGCCAACCCCGGAGCCACCGGACCCCGCGACTACTCCCCGACAATCACCGAGGACGACGACGACGACCTGCTGGATCAGCATTACCTAAACCATCGCAGCAATTACCACGCCGCCGTCTCTTCGTCAATACCCATCACTAGCAACCCCTCATCATCGTCTTACCCCCGCCGACCCTCACTGGCCAGTCGCACCTCGTCCCTATCCGACGTCAATAACGGAACTGGGCCCCCCTCATTGCGCATCAACACCAGCCGTACAAACTCCAACGCCGCTTCTTCGCGGCTCGCACACGTCTCGAGCCACTCGGACATTAAACAGTCGGGCAGGATTTCCGACTCCAATGTGCCCAACACGGCACCAGTGCTCTCGCCTCTATCGTCAGCATCTCCCTCAACATCAGTAACCGCCATGTCTCCCCTGCGCACATCCTTGGAGGGCTTCCGTTTGCGTTCGCGCTCCGACCTCGATTCCAACTACCACCAGGAGCGCATCCGACTGGAGCGCCACCGCTGGGAGGAGAAGGAGCGCCTGAAGAACGAGAAGAGGGACAAGGAGGAGATGCGCAAGCGAGAGCGCGCCGACATCAAAGAGGCTTTGCGCCATGAGCGCGAGCAGCAGCTAATGATGAAGCGGGAGGCAAAGGAGGCCGCCCGCAAGCAGAGCTTCTCCCACAGCGCCCGCAACAGCTCCAGCGACATGATCCGGCCCTCCATCAGTCGCAAGAGGACGGCCCCCGATGCCGAAAAGCTGGCCATGGGAGCTGCCGAGAACGGTCGTGGTGTCGGGTTTGCCAGCCGCAACTACGAGAGCACTGACCAGGGCCAGGCTCCTGTGGCCGACGAGGTCATGCTCGAGGGACCCCGTCGTTCCCTGACTGCCAAGCGCAAGACACAGGGCGCCTGGACGAGCTTCGTCTTGTGGTTTCGGACTAGAATTCTGCGACTGCATGACAATATGGCCAAGAAGTAGGACCCTTCTTCAGCCTTACCTTCAGCTTCGTTGGGCCTTTTGACATTAAGATTTTTATTCTTTTTTTGATCTTAACGGCCGGCCCCCCCGTCAAAAAAGGGTCTGTTTCCCCAGGGAAACTGCCCACGTCTGTCACGGCAATACATATCATCAAAGGTATCACAGCCCGGTACACGCAAAGGCACTCGGCGTGACTGAAATGACGGGTTCTCATAGCACTCAGTGGACAGAGGTATATTTGTCGCATTCCATTTCACTTTCACACAATATACCCAGACACGCCGAAAACACAACACAACACAACTGTCCTGCCTCGCTTTCACGACACCACCAGATGCCCTTTCAGAGGGCAGGACTTATTCAACAGTCATTTGCTTTTGCGCTCTTCATCCCCACGTTTATGACCAGCATTCAGACGAATTATTGGACATGGTCAGATGAAGATGAGCAAAGAAGAAGAATCAAAATAAAAAAACGGGCCTTTCTTTTCTTCTTTTCTTCTTACCTCATTCGTTTCTACGGAACCTGGATCGGCATGGCGTTTAGGACCTTTGGCTTTTTGTTTTACTTCTTCTCTCCGGTATGACGCACACTCCTCAGGAAAGGAAGGGGGCATTCACTCGTTTGCCAGCCGTGGTAACCGGCTTGGACAAAACAATAGGAATCAAACTCTCTCAGCCTGCGGGCCTTGGGAAAGCAATTTCTGATTCACGGAAGGCGTTCGGTTTATGAGAGCAAGCGATATGGGCGTGGCATGCCTGGCCAGGAACAGCTGCTTCCCACGGGACAGCGCGGCCGTATGTAGAAATACAAAGAGTCAACAATGGGATTTGGCTCATTTTCCTCGTCCCTTGCCGCTGTCTTGTCTGTCTCGTTCTTCTCTCCCCCTCAACGGTTTCCCATGCGATCCTTTGCTGGTCGGAGCTTGACATCCGCTCCCTTGCGGAAGAAGTAGATGAGGCTCTTCTGGATATCGTGCCCAGAGGGCATGTTTTTTTTTTTTTTTTTTTCCATTTTTTTAGCTTAGCCGTAATGGGATGGGTGCGGGGTAGTCAAAATTGTCTCAAAACATGTTGGAATTGTTTTGCGTGTGGGCCTGCTTGGAGAAGAGCCCGGGCGAATGCAGCTGAGGAACCGAGCGCGGAATTCTGCGCTGCGTCATATTCTTAAATAGAACAATTAACAATGACTCTTTCGCCCTTCTCAAATCTTGACTGGCGGGTGGACAATGGGATGGTCCACTCTGCCTCGCACAGCAAATAGAACCCGAGTTCGACCACCCACCGTTATGTCACTGAGGCAGTGAGAGGCAGCCTTTCATAGATGGGAATATTTGCATGCCTTTAGCAAATTCCCGCTTCCCCCATCGCCAAAAGATGCCGAGGCACGGAGGCTATCGCATCCACCTCTTCCTTGAAGCTTCGATAACCAGCCTATCCGCGTCTCACTTGCTGAACTATGGGGCCGGCCCCCCACACCTCCTAAGAAGCTCTACCCCCGTCGCTGATCCGAGCTCCTCCCCCCAGCTACCTAAGCAGCTAAGGTAAGGAGGCCCGCATAAACTCACACTCATCACCGCCGACGACACATACTCGCAACCCACCCGTGGCTGATCGCGCTTCCTTGGTCCCAACACGTTTCGTTTCAACTGGCACCAAAAACAACCGCCTTCGCCGTCTGTGTGTTCCGTGTCCACCAGTTGAAGCAAACCAGGAAAAGCACCAGGAGAGGGAGCAAACAAGCAAGCAGCCCCGTCAACCCTCCCCAACCTTTCAAACACTTTGCTGCTAGCAGCCCGGGCCGAGCTCTGACCTTCACAAGGGTCTCCTCCAACCGGCATCTGATAATTGCCGTCCAGCCTCCATTTGACTTGACCTCTCTGTCTTCTGGGCCTTTCCTTCCTTTCAGAAACACACACTGCCTGTTCCGATTGACTCTGCACACGTTTCCAGGCTCGCCACGGTGTCCGCTTCGTACCACCGCAACTGGTCGCCTTCACCGACGACCCTACTACACACATAATGGCCCCTAACCAAAAGTACGCCAACTATCCCGGTGCCCGCGAGGCGCCGGCCCAGAACAACTCGGGGACGCCAAAGGAGGATCAGAACCCTGTCCTCCGCGGCTGGCCTCTTGTTGTGGGCTCGGCACTGTGAGTACTCCCTTCTTCGCCTCTCACCATCACGCCCCCCACGGCCTTCATCTACTGACAATGGAACAGCGTTGCAAACTCCGGCGCCGTCCAACGCTTTTTCTGGCGCAACGCAAAGTTCGGCTCCATCAGAGACTTGCCCGGCCTCGTCGACTACCGATATCGCTTCCAGGTTCCGTTCCCCCTCACCCTCTCTAGCGCCACCCCAGCCCTTGCTTGGTCTCACTAACACCAGCCAGCCCGACGTCCTCGTCCTCTCGGAATCCGGAACTCACCCGGACCCTTTTCCCCTGACTCCGGAACTCACCACGCCGGCGCCCCAGGACCAGCCCTCCCGCTACCTCTCCAGCGCCGACTACCATGCCCTCTACGCCTCCGGCGCCGCGACCCCGCTCGACGTTGTTCAGTCCCTCCTCCCTCTCGTCCGCCGCGCCGAGGGCCACCCCCCTCCAGAGACGGGCCCCTACGCCAATGCCTGGGTCGCCTCCCACGGCCGCGAGGACCTCGCCATCGACGCCGCCCGCGCCTCCACGGAGCGCTGGCGCCGCGGGGAACCCCTGGGCCCGCTCGACGGCGTGCCCATTGGTGTCAAGGATGACATCGACGTCAAGGGCTACGTCAGCCACAACGGCATGCAGTACCGTCCCGACCTGCCGTGGTTCAAGCCCGCCGAAGAGACGATGTGGCCCGTTCGGCAGCTCGAGGCAGCTGGTGCCATCGTGCTGGGAAAGAACGCCATGCATGAGCTGGGTGGCGGTATGTACTCGTTCTCCCTCCCCTTTCCTGCCATCTGCGTATTATCAAAGCTGATTAGGCTCCTTCCCAAGACACCAATGGCTGCAACGTAAGTGAAACTCCCCGTTTCATCGAGAGAAGACGCCGGAGAGAACTTCCCTCCTGACCCCTTTCCCCTCCAGCACATACTGACCAACCATTGCAGCCTCGATGGGGAACCCCGACCAACTGGCACAACAAGTCCTACTACCCGGGCGGCTCCTCCTCCGGCGGCGGCTCCGCCCTCGGCGCGGGCATTGTCCCCATCTCCATCGGCACCGACGCCGGCGGCTCCATCCGCATTCCCGCCTCTTTCAACTCCGCCTACGGCCTTAAGCCCTCGCACCACCGCGCCTGCACCATGAACACCTCCGTCTGCGTCGTTGGCCCCCTCGCCGCCACCGTCGCCGACCTTACCATCGCCTACCGCGTCATGTCGCGCCCGAACCCGGACGACCCCATCCAGGGCCTCTACACGCCCTCGATCCCGCCCTCCTTGTCGCACTCCCCCCCCCAAAAGATCATCGCCATCGACGAAGCCTGGTGGTCCCACGCCGAGCCCTCCGTCAACGCCGTCTGCCGCCGCGCTGTCGACCACTTCACCTCCAGGGGCTACGCCACCATCCCCATCCGTATCCCCTACCTCCGCGAGATCCAGCTCATGCACTCTGCCACCTGCATCACCGAGATGCAGGATCTCGCCCGCCACCGCCACCCGGACCCGGAGCAGTGGCAGTCTCTCATCAACCACGCCAACGCCATCACCATGTCCGTCGGCACCCAGACCCCCGCCGGCGACTACATGAAGTACGCCCAGCTGCGCGATCTGCTGATGAAGCACCTGGCCTTCCTCTTTGAGCAGAACCCGGGCATGCTTGTCGTCACCCCCACGACCCCGCTGCCGGGCTGGCCCCGCCAGCCCGGCGACGATGCCTACGGCGTCTCGGACGCCAATACGACCATCGCCAACATGAGCTACGTCTTTGTCGCCAATGTCAGTGGCTGCCCCGCCGTCACGGCGCCCATCGGCTACGTGGATCCCGTCCAGGGTGAGGGCAGGGTGCCCGTCGGGTTGATGGCCATGGGCGAGTGGGGCTGCGAGGAGCAGCTCCTCGAATGGGCCAAGGAGGCCGAGACGTACCTCATCAAGGAGGGCCGCCAGAGGCCTGAGGGGTGGGTGGACGTCATCGAGGTCACCAAGAACGGCGGTCTCGAGGCCAAGAAAAACATTTGACATGACAACATGAGGGAACACCATCTTTCGCGGATCATGGGAAAAAAATGAAAAGGTGGGTCCACAAAGAAGGGGAGGGGCAGAGAAGGCGGTGTGGGCGAAGAAGAAGGGAAGCATCATAATCGTCAAGGTTTTTGTCTATCTATCCGGAGTACCTTGAATAATCGTGGCGGGGGATTTGGGATGCCCAGCGCGAAACTGGAAACCTCCCTAGCTAGGGATCAGTCAAGAAAACGCATCTGGATTCGTCATTCGTATATAGTAGGGTTCACGACAACAGCAGTGCCCTTCTTTGTCCCTACATGAACTTGGACGCCAGGCCCATGATGCCGCTCTGCTGCTGGCCTTGGCTCTTGAAGTACATCTTGAGTGCCATCTCGCCCGCCTGCTGAATGGCCGACTCCTTGCTCGTGCCCTCGGCGACCTTACCCTGCGACTGGCGCTGGTCGAAAAGCTAAAGGGGGACGTTGTGTCAGCTGCTGTCCGTTCCATCTGTGTAACCTGCCGGGATGGGAACACGCCAACTCACCCGACTGGCCTCGGCCATGGCGAGACCTGCGAACCCACCCTGGCTCTGCTTCTGGCCGCCCGTCTCACCGCCCGAGAACATCTTAAGTGCCTGCATCGCTGCTGCGACACCGAGGCCCTTGTCGTCGGCCTTCTCGTCGTCGTCGTCGTCACCGCCGAAGAACTTTTTGTGCTTCTTCACGGCGTCTGGAGCAAGTCACGAAATATGTAAGCACATGTTGACCCATCCGTACACCCCCTGCCCTTTAGCATTCCTCTCATCTCTTCATACGACAAGAAGTTCACTATCTTCTTTACAATGATTCGAAAAAGGCAACAGAAAGGGAGGCAGTATGGTGTTGGTAGAAACAGAAGAAACATGAAACATACCATCTTCGTCAATGTCCTCGTTTCTAAGCTGTTCCTTCTTCTGCGTCAAGGCGCTCAGCACGCTTGAGAACAAGTCCTTATCACCATGGGGACCCGCGTGGCGTGAAGCCTCGTTGGCGGCGTGACGGTAATCATCGTCGTCGTCGTCGTCGGCAAAAGCTCCACCGCCCGCGGGGTAGTTGCCGCCGTGAGATTCTAATTACAGACGCACCCCGAACGTCAGCGCATCGTCGACTCGGTTTCCCCTCTGTTTCCCAATTAAGAGTCCAGGCACGCTCCCTGTTGTAGAGCAGCGAAGAAGGAAAAAAAAAAAGGTTCGTTCGATTTGAGAAGGTTAGAACCTACTGTCGCCACCAGGAAGAGATTGGCCTGTTAAGCTATTTGTTAATTGGAGCTTTCATCAGGGACGCGCGGGGTAGGAAGAGTAGAAGGGGATGGCGGGGTAGTTTAAGAGGGGAGGAAAGCTTGTTCAGGACATACCGTAGCCCTGCTGTTGCTTGGACTTGCTGTCGTCGTCCTTCTCAAGGTACTCCTGGGCGGCGTTCATAATTTTGTCCATGATGAAGACGGCGAGTTTGGGCTGAGTATGCTGGGATAGGTGTATTGATATTTCGAGATGAACGAAGAAAAGGAAGGAGGGTCAAGAAAGAGGACCAGGTTGAGAGCTCTGGTAGATAAAAAAAGGAGAGCCATGTTTGTCCCCGCATCACCGGCGGGCGATCAACTGTCTCAGGAGCCCTGAGTTGACCATGCACGCCAAAACATCGGACCGGCGTCCAATGACCTGGTGGCCTGCCATTTCACATCCACAATCGACAACCTGGACGATGCAGCTGAGCCAGCCGTCCAGGGGACCTCAGACCCATCTCCAGCTACCACAGATCGCACATATCGTCGGTGCGGATGGTCAGTACACGCGACGGCCCGATAAGTAGTAGGTAGGCCTTTAGTGCTTGCCCCCACGGTGCTTGGCTTCGGCAGAGCTTGTGAGTTGGACCCCTAGCAGTTTATCGTGCCCCTCCCTCTCCACATCTGATGTGTCCATATTCATACCAAGCATCGTCAAAAGTACCCACTTGGAGCCTGTTGACAATCAACAGGTCCAGGTTGCAGTCGCATCACATGCTCTGAGCCTCTGACCATCCAGTCAAGATTCCTTCCGGCTGGGATGGCCTGAGCTGTTCCGGGTGCAAAGTCGGAGCCCACCCAGCCAGATCCAGAACTTGTTTAAAGGGCAAACATCAAGTTTCAGGAAACCTCCGAGCTTCGCATATCAATACAAGTCGCCAAGTGCGCGCGCGCGCGCGCAAGTGAGGCAATCCGATTGTGGGCCACAAAGTATCGCCGAGGCGAAGTATCTAGGCGAAGGGCACACACACGCACACGCATTTGGATATCACTCATCCCGCACTCCGTAGGAGCCAGTCTTGGACCGCTGGCCGAACGGCAAAAGAGAGAAGGAAAAAAAAAAGGAAAAAAAAGAGGGGGAAATAGGTCAACACGTCCAGTGGTTCCCGCCCGAGCCGCTCCCCGCGTCAACTGTACCTGACTCGGTGGGTGGCTCGCCGGCTGATAGCAACATGGCTTGAATTTCGCTCTCTCGAAACTGCTGGTCCGAAGGCCTCGCCCCGTGTGCCCCATTGTCCAGTCGTATCCAGGTATCTCGGTTGCTGCAAATTGATAACAACGTAAAAGTAGCATACAGCCATATGTTCGTTAATGTAATAGTAGTCTGCGCCGTGCCGACTTCCAGACGCCCACTCCAGCCGGGGGAGGTCATGGGAGAGCCGTGCTTAGCCCTGTAGGGCATCTGCCGACCAATGCGCCGATAGTTACTCATCAAAACTTAACCTCAACCATGCTCGACTTGTAACGAGCCCGCCTGATGACTGGAGTTGGTGCCGTTGTGCCTGTTCTTCTTCTCTTTCTTGGCCCACCGAAGGCCGCAGGCGTTGCATAGTGTTTTTGGCCCACTTGGGCCTTTGCGCCATTCGGGAGAATCCAGGGTGCCTGATTATCGTGGTTAGGATGTGCTAGCAGAAAGCTGGAATGAGACTGGACCTTACCGCAGTCCGTGCAGACGTATTCCTCCGAAGTCTTGAGCTTCTTCTTCTTGTCGCCTGTCCGAGGGTCCCGGTCGAGTGGGATGGCAATGCCGGCGTCGCCCTTGATCAATGTTGGACTTGCGTTGCCTGTCGTGATGCCACGACTTCTTTCACCCTCGATATACCTCAGGCCGGTCAACATCTCGATGGTGTCCGTGTGCGAAGCCCCGCCTTCGTACCTGGCCATTTTGTCCTTCAGCGAGTCCGGCCGGCTTCCTGCGACGCCTTCCAGAGCCTCACGCGTGAGTGCGACGTTGAGGGCCGACGACCTATCTCCCGTTTCCGTGTTGCGAGATGTGTGGCTCGGGGCGGACGTCATTGTAGTTTCCGACGGCGTCATGTCTGACCTGCCCTCCTGGCCCTGCATCCATTGCCGTTGTGACTCTTCGTTCTCCATCTCCTCCTCCCTGCGCAGCTCGGCAATGCGCCTCCTCAGGCGTTCGTTCTCGATCTTGTGTTCCAAAAACGAGTCCAGTAGACCGGCGTTCTTTGTTGGGTACGGGCGCGACATCATGAAGACTGCTTGGCAGAATGGAGATTGGTTGTGGGGGTTCGGCGCAAATTTGGCGGCAGCGATGTGGGCATGGCCTACCGACTCGAAAATAGCGTATTTGCCGTCCTTCTTCTTGAGCCTGAAGAACAGGCGCAGGGGGTTCCCTGAGGCTATGGACTCGTTTAGCTCGGCGACAAAAACGCCGACGTCGTCTGGGTGAACCAGGTCCTTGAGGAAAGTGTCGGTGATCTCTTCGGCAGCGTAGCCCGTCAGATTCAAGATGCTGGGCGAGACATATCGTAGGCGACCGTTGGCGTCGAGTATTTGAAGAAAGTCCTTGAGCTCTTCCACGACTTTTGCGGGCCAATTGCGCCTCTTTGTGAACTCGGTCAGGGTACTGCCGGCCTGCTGTAAAGACTGCGCATTCATGCCACCGGCCGGTGGAGGCCCCCCGCCGACAACGCTAGAAGTATCGTCGCCATTGTTTGAATAATTATTGCTCATGGAGGGCGTTTCGTCTCCGAGGCCGTCAGGCATGGGGGTGTTGCCGACAAAATTGAAGGCGGACATGGTGCCGTCGTCGTGGGGGTTGTCGACGCTCATAGACATGGCGTCAAAGCTCCCATAAACTGTCGGGTCCAGGAGAGAGGACATGATGTTGGGGTCGGCTTCAGCCATCTGCATTGTGTCAGCGCGACGTAGGGGGGGGGGGAGGGGGCGGTCTGCGGAAGCTTGAGTGGGGCTTGAAGAGGAATGCGCCGGGGGTCGGCGGGTCGGGAAGGGGGGAACAAGAGGGAAGCGAGGCGGTTATGGGAAAGTGCAGTTGGCCGTGTGCATGTATCGGATTAGGACCAGGCATGGGAAGCTGGCGGGGGGTACTAACAGCATCGAAGGCAGAAAGTGCATCTTGGTGCCCGAAGCCAAAGAAATTGACTGGGGGAGGCTGAGGGGGTCCGTGGGACATGGTTGCGGCGGTAGAGATCCAATACTAGCCCGACGGCTTCTAACAAAGGCATCGGCGGTCTGCGCCGTAATTCGATATTGGTATTGGGGGGGAGGAGATGGTGTTCCTCTGGGCGGAAGGTGGTCTGCTCACGGTACGGCACTGCAACTCTGTTGGGGGCGTCGTTTTCTTCTTCTTTTCTTTTTGCTGCTTGCAACTCAAAGTGCGATATGCTCGTTGCGCCCGTAGTACAGCGGGATAGCGATAGCGCCCACAGCCGCGGCCACGCCGACGAAGCCCGAAGGCGAGCCCGCGATAGCGGATGCAGTCGAAGCGTTTCGAAGGAGAGGGGCCGGGGGACATGAGCTGACACGGAGAGCTGGAACTGGGTCCGACGAGGCCTAGATTCACGGTAGATCAAGGGTACCTAACGAAGAAAAAAAAAAGATACGGGCGAGTCCAGGGCGTTGTACATCGAAGGGTACCCGTCTTATTCTTCCATGTCTCTGGCTATATTGCTCGGCTCGCCGGGACAGGAGCAAATGTCGATTTTGAGGTCGATAGCCGGATGCGTGGTGAATGCAACTGAACGAATGATGGAAAGAGAGGAAAGAAACAGGCCACGACTGGAGCGCGGGACAGATTTGAGTCTGGTATGGTGAGAGAATCCTAGCCGATGGGGGTTTGCCACAATAAAATGCCGAACTGGATTACTGCTAGTACAGACGTGACCCGGCCAGTCCAATTCTTAGTGCGAGTTGGCCTTGTAGTGCGGTGCAGGCACAGGAGTGGAAAGTGTAGCAGCGGCAGTACCTAGCAGTACGGAGCGCTGACAGACGACAAAGAGAGGGAATGCGTATGTGATTGTGTGTGAGAGAGAGAGTGTTGTTCGTGTCTTGTCCCTGTCTTTTCTCTTGGGCTGTTACGACTGTCGTAAGACACAACCAGTGGGCTGGGTTGAGCTGGGTTTGGGGTCCAGTCGGATTGGGACGTGGACTGCGAGGCCAAGTCTGGTTACCTACCTACCCTCAGGAGAGGAAGATGGGAGACACAGAGGGACGAGGCGAGGGGCGGAGGAAGCGGTGCTAGATGGAACGCAGTTGAAAAACGGAGGGAGAGAAAGGGGGGGGAGGGGGGTGGAGGGGAAAGGAAAGATGAGGGCGATGAAGGAGAAGAAGTGTCACACGCGCTCGAGTCGTCGAAGGGAAGAAAGAAAGGAAGGAGGGAAGGAAGGAAGGAAGGAAGGAAGGAAGGAAGGAAGAAGAAGGGTGCGTGGTGTACGGTACCTAGGTAGTACCTAGGGTGGGAATCTGGGAGACGACAAGATGTGGGAAAAGCAGGAACCCAGGAAAAGGATGGGAAACTACAAAATGGAAATGGAGCACATGGCAATTTTCAGTCGCGGGGCATGGATATTTGGTGGCAGGAGCAGGTGATGGAATGGACACCCTGGAGGAAGAGGCATCCATTCGCATTCCCACCAAAGCCGGCTGCTAGGTATTAATTTACCTACCGGTATGCACTAAGGTACCTAGGTAAGCCACCTAGTTTAGCTGCCTGCCTTGCAACCTTTGTTCCACTCGGCCTTCGAATAAATATCTTGGCTCTGCCTCCCTTTGGATTCTCTTCTCAAGGTACCTACCTACCTACCCTACGTGCCTACCTAGTCAGTCTCCTCCCATTGCGCCGTCGTCCATGCTGGTGGGCCATCCGGTGTTGCAGTCTCCGAGCTGAACCTCCAAGGGGCTTCGCACAGCGATCCCCTGGGAGGTGCTAGCAAGGGCGCTACGATTCGGAGCAAATGCCCCGGCCGAACATGATGGCCGGAGGTTTCTGCACGAGTAGAAGACGCCGTGGAATTTGGTCCCGTTTGGAGCCATACAACAACGGGTCTCGGGTGGAGAACAACCGCCTTTGGGCTCTGGCATGACTAGCTACCGCCCACCTTTAGGTATAGTTATATAGTAAATGACCGTCCATCGGTGGTATACGTGTATTGGCCGCTGGGAGGAGGGTCCTACAGATCTCCCAGCTCCCGCTGCTTTTGCCGCCGAACGAGGGACCTTAGCGGTGTTGTCCGACCCAGCGACGCTTCTGCGTTGCGCCCCATCCGAGAGCCAGGATTACATAATGACATGCTCACCCGGACACGGCAGCTAAACTAAACGAGCAGCTGGCTCAGTGGGGACTTGATGGCTTGCTGACTTATGGTACTGATCCCCGATATCCGTACTCCGTACGCTAACATTCATCCATCCTTGCGGGCCCTGCGCGCGCCGTCCTTTTTGCCTGTACCTTACCTCGCTCGAGTGGTGAAGATGCTGAAGATTCCCTCCCCCTTGTTGCCTTTAGTACTACTGCCACTACCACTGCCACTACCACTCAACTCAGGTACCGTGGGTACGCTACTCGCTCCGTCTTTGGTGAAACCCATCTGGCATTTGTTTGACACCATGGCCTGAACTCGGGCTAGCAGACGCTTTTTAAAGTTGAATCATGATGTCATTGACCGACTTGCGTCAATGTTGACTGTAACTTTCCATTCACCCATCTTGTGCTCTGTTGCCAGATTGAATCTTCTGCTTGACAACTTGTCGCGGGCTATTGCAAGAAACTCAATCTAGCCGCCCACCTTTCGTCCCACTCGGTATAAAGCGCCATCACAGTTCTTCCTCCTCCTTCAAACAACGGATAAGAGACGTCATAGGGTCTTGGGGACGAACGGAGCGGAACCAATGAGTGGGGGGAGGGAAACCGGGGGCGTATGGCTGTGCGGCTGTCTGTGTCTTTTTTCCACCGGATATACGTCTAGCTGTGCAGGAGCATTTCCCAAAGGCTGGCCTTGCAACAGTTAGTCCGCGGCTTTTGCGCCAGATATAGGTCTTTTGTTGGCTGAGACCCCGCGAGCTTCCGACTGACGCTATCCCGGCCACCGTGGGGGCCTGGTGCCGGGAGCCGGGAGCCGGGAGCCTGGAGCCTGCCTGACCCTAGTAGGCATTACCCACCCACCGAAGGGAAGGCACTTGTTATCTTATCGTCAGGCGCGAAGTCACGCTTTTTCGCATCTGCTGCCTACACGCGTGCCATTCCCAGTGTCCCCAGAGCTCGCGTCAAATCCCACCCATGTCCAACATCCACGCCCACCTCGAGCGACCTACACCGACTGTAGCCTGGTGCAAGGCAGCGAGCAGTACGCCATTGCCAGGAAGCACAAAACTGAGTCTCACCTCCCCTTTAAGTTTCCATCTAGACTTCCTCCTCGACACTACCGACCCTGCACGACCGAATCATACACGCCCTGGTTCGCATGGCATTTGGCTCTGAGAGGCATCGCCCGCCATGTCCAAGATCGATAAGCTGTCCGTCCAGGGCATCCGCTCTTTTGGCGGCAGCCGCGAAACCATTTCATTCTATACCCCCCTGACTCTCATTGTTGGGTACAACGGCTCCGGAAAGACCACTATTATCGAGTGTCTTAAGTACGCCACCACCGGCGAACAGCCTCCCAACAGCAAGGGCGGTGCCTTCGTTCATGACCCCAAGGTTCGTATCTTGCCCTACGTCCACTACAAATTCCCGTCAGCGAACTGCGGCTGATGCTTCCTAGTTGTGCGGTGAGAAGGAGGTTCTGGCTCAGGTCAAGCTTGCATTCACTTCGACAGGTGGCCATAAGTGCGTCTCTACGCGTAGTTTGCAGTTGACCGTCAAGAAGAACTCCCGATCACTCAAGACTCTCGAAGGATCACTGGTATACAACAACAATGGCGAGCGCACCGTCATCTCGTCCAGAGTCGCCCAGATGGATGAGTTCATCCCGAGAGAACTCGGTGTTTCCAGAGCCATCCTCGACTACGTCATCTTCTGCCACCAGGACGAGTCTCTATGGCCCATGAGTGAACCTGCCGCCCTGAAGAAGCAATTCGACCAGATCTTTGAGGCCATGCGATATACCAAAGCCATCGACAACCTCAAGGTCCTCAGAAAGAAGCAGGGCGAAGAACTGGCCAAGCTGAAAATATTCGAGGAACAAGACCGAATCAACAAGGAGAAGGGCGATCGTGCCGAGAAGCGCTCCATGGCGTTGCAGACCGACATCGAGGAGTCCCGGGAAAAGTGCACCGCCCTCACCCTCGAAATGGAAGAGCTGCAGGAGCAGATCCGCGAGAAACACGAGCAGGCCAACAGCTACCTGAATGTCGTCAACGACCTCAAGTTCAAGAGGGATCAGCTCGCTTATCGCGAAGGCTCCATTGCGGATATCAAAATGACTCTCGAGGAGCTTTTCGAGGACGACGCGTACCTGGAGAATGCGCTCGCCCAGTACGAGGAGCGCATGGCCCGCTACGAGGAAGAAGCGAACGAAAACAAGGCCCGTTATGCTGAGCTGCAGAAGGATCTAACCCAGTCCCGTCGAGAGCTTTCCGCCAAGCTTGCAGAGCAGGGCAAGCATCAGTCCGACAAGGACAAATACGAACGCCAGCTTCAGTCCCGCATGCAGCTGGTCCGGGACGCCGCAGGGCTTCACGGGTTCCGTGGCTATGACGGCGACCTCAAGGATGCTCAGATCAAGGCCTTCAACGAGCGCATCCAAAAGCTGCTGGCTGAGAAGAAGCGCGACCTCGATCGGGCACAAAAAGAGAATGCGCGCGAGCTGGATGAGGCGACGAGCGTCATCACCGAGCTCGAGGGTCGCAAGGCAACGACAACTCAGAACCGTGTCTTTGCCAAGCAGCGGATGGGTGCCATCGACAAGCGAATCAATGTCTTGCAGATGGACATCAACCGGCTGGACATTGACGAGGGCGCCAAGGCTATTCTCGACAGCCAGTTCGAGGATGTTGAGAGCCGGCTGAAAAAGGCAAACGAGTCCTTGTCCAACGCCGACTACGACAACCAGCTTCAGCAGGAGAACGAGAAGCTGTGGCAGCTCGAGAGTGAGAATGAGAAGCTTGGCCGCGAATTGATGGAGTGCACGCGGCTTGCGTCTGAGCGGGCGCAGTTGGATTTGCGGAAGAAGGAACTGTCAGATCGCAAGCGCAAACTTGATACCCTCACCAACACATGGAAGCCCAAGTTGGACACGCACGTTGGTACCGCATGGCAGACAGACACCCTCGAAGCCAAGTTCCACGAGGCCTTGAAGCACCAGAACAGGATTGTCGCCGAAGCTCGCCAGAAGCGGGATTCGGTGAGGGACAAGCAGCAGAAGGTTGACTTTAGACTGAAGAATGCCAAAGATGTCGGCGCCAAAAATTCAGACGAAGCACAGCGCTGCCGCAGTGCCGTCGTCAGTGCCTTGCAGGCGGTCCGAGACGGTGCCACCATCGATGACTACGAGGAAGAAGTCAAGATGCATGAAGAGGACGTGGAGACATACGCCACCGATATCAGCCTCTTGGACGCCCTGGCAGACTACTACCGCGGCTGCCAGAAGACCCTGCTGGAGAAGAACAAGTGTCGACTTTGCGACCGCAGCTTCGATGACAAATCGAATGTCGCCAAGTCTCGGTTCTCAGACAAGCTGATCAAGTTCCTTGACCCCAACAAGAAGGAAAAGGCAGAAGAGGATCTCGCCAACTCCACTGCCTTACTTGATTCCCTGCGTAAGGTCAAGGCGCAGTATGAGACATACCAGAGACTGATGGCAGAGCTCCCTTCTGTGAAAGAAGAGGTTGCTTCCCTCGAGTATGAATGCGAAACTCTGGAACGAGAGCTGGAGGAGCACGATGCCATCGTCGGTGCCGAGGAAGGCAAGCTGACCGATATTGAATCTCTCAACAAGACCGTCATCAGCATTACCCAAGCCCTCAAGGACATCAGGGACTCCGAGGCGCAGGTCGACAGAATTATGACTCAACAGTCGTCCGGCACGGTCAGCAGAAGCGTCGACGAGATCCACGAGCTCCAAGCGCTTTGCAACGAGCAAATCAGATCGATGAAGAACAAGATCTCCAAGACAACGTCAGATCGTCAACGGATGAAGGACCAGATCAACTCGCTCGAGCTGGAGAAGAGTGAGCTCCGAAACAACCTGAGCAAGGCCCTCAATCAATTGGAGCGTAAGAAGGACTTTCAAAATCAGATCCAGACCCTGAAGGAGGATCAGGTCCATCAGCGAGATTTGATCATCCGAGCTGATCAGGAATTGGAATCCATCGAGCCTGAGATCGCTGAGGCCAGATCAGTCCGAGACGACACCTTGCAGCGTGGTCGTGCAAAGGAGCAGGCTATTGCCGAAGAGCGAGACAAAGTTGCTGACTCGGTGACGGAGCTGAAGATGGTCGAGAACGACATCCAAGACTACATTGACCGCGGCGGCCCCTCTAATCTGGCAGCGAATCAGCGTGCCATCGCGAGTCTTGAGAAGTCGATTGCTTCGCTGGACAAGGAAATCTCGGACTTGACTGTGCGAACCAACAAGCTGAAGCAGGACATTGACAATGGCGACCGCAAGAAGCAGAACATCAGCAACAACCTGAAGTACCGCCAGAATCTGCAGCAGCTCGAGATCCTCCGTCGAGACATCGAGGAGCTGGAGTCCCGTGACGCCGACGAGGACTACAGGACGCTGATCACCGAAGCGAAACAGTTGGAAAACCGCCACAATCGACTGGTTGCCGACCGAGGCTCCATCATGGGTCAGATGAAGACCAAGGACGAGGAACTCGAGCGGCTCCTACTCGAGTGGGAGCAAGAGTACAAGAGCGCTGCCAAGAAATACCGCGAGTCGCACATTAAGGTCGAGACGACCAAGGCAGCCATTGAAGACCTAGGCCGATACATCTCGGCCCTGGACACGGCCATCATGCGGTATCACAGCCTGAAGATGGAGGAGGTCAATCGCATCGCTGGCGAACTGTGGCAGAGCACGTATCAGGGCACCGACATTGACACGATTCTCATCCGCTCCGACAATGAAAACGCGACGACGGGCCGGCGCTCATACAACTACCGCGTCTGCATGGTCAAGCAAGACACGGAGATGGATATGCGCGGCCGCTGTTCGGCAGGCCAGAAGGTGCTCGCCAGCATCATCATCCGTCTCGCTCTAGCCGAGAGCTTCGGCGTCAACTGCGGCCTCATTGCTCTCGACGAGCCGACGACCAACCTGGACAAGGACAACATCAAGAGCCTAGCCGAGAGCCTGCACGCCATCATCAAGGCCCGTCAAGCCCAAAGCAACTTCCAGCTCATCGTCATCACCCACGACGAAGAGTTCCTGCGGCACATGCGCTGCAACGACTTTTGCGACAGCTTCTTCCGCGTCCGGAGGGACGACAAACAGAACAGCGTTATTACGAAAGAGAGCATCACGAGGGTTCTGTAAAGCATTACATGACGGGGTGTACGCGGGTGTTGGGTTGGCGATTGCGGAATCCGTGGGCTTCCTTACGATGTGGATCATGACAAGCACGGCGTCTGGAATGGAGGGGGGGTTGTTTGTTATTTCTGCCTTCAATGCCACATACCTAGCTGCTCATGTAGTTATTAGAGAGGGCTACTTTTGCCAAAATCTCAGCATTTGAGCCTTACGCAAACACATCTATCTCATCGACTGGCAATCCTTTCGCCTTCACGCAGTTTTGCAATGTTGTGTATCCCCAAACCCCCTGTTCCGAGCCTATGTGCATTTGTACTAAACGCAAAAAAAAAATCAAAAAAATCACGACACTCAACGATTCGGGAACGAGCTTGATGGAGAAGGGATTGGCGAGGGTCCGGTGGAAGCGGTTCATGGTATCATAGCCTATCTCCTAACACGTAACGCGGCGACACCTCCCCTAGTATAGCATCAAATGCGCAACGACGCACCCTCCTCAACTGTCCGCTGCGGTGTCCTCCGTCTTCGTCTCTGGCTCAGCTGCGGCGGTCTCGGCTCCAGTCGTCACGATCTCGTTCTTCACCGCCTTGCCCTCCTCCTCCTCCTCCACCCCCCCCTTCCCCGACGAGTCAGCCGTGGCGGCCTCTGGCGCGCCCCCAGCCACGTCGCCCTCATGCTCCTTGACCTTCTTGCTCGCGAGGCCGTCGAGCTCCTCGTCGGCGTCGCGCTTTGGATGCGACGTGACGCTCATATCGGACGCCGCGTCGTCGACAGCTGCCTCGGCAGACCCCTCCTCCCCCGTGGCGGCCGCAGCGGTGTTCTCCTTCTCCGCATCCTCGAGCGAGGGCGTGGCATGCGTTTGCTCGGCCTTTCGGCCCACCGCGGCCTCGACGTCGATGCCCTGCATCTCGAGGCTGGGTCCGCCGCTGGTGAAGCTTGTCGTCTCGCTCTGCGGGCCGAGATCGCCGACGCCAATCTCCTCGGGCCCGCGAGCGTGCGGAACCTCGTTCTCTTCTTCGGCGGCGCCGGTGTTCTGCTCCCGCCCCTGCTGTTCCTGGTCCTGCCGCTCGGGGCTGGCGGCTCTACCGTCATCCCCGCTCCGCAGGGCTGCGGCATGCTGTGCTTCTTCTGCTTGTCGCACTAGTTGGTTGACTGGAACGACGCCCTGCTCCTGCTCCTGTCGCAGTAACTCACCTTGTGTTATCGCGCGGTTGCTGTTACTCGCACCCATAGACGGTATGCCGTTGACGCTAACGCTGACCGTCTCGATGCTGCCGACACCGTTAGGACCGTCAATGGTCTCTGTCGACTCGGTGCGGATCTCAGCCGGGCCACCCCCGTTGGAAGAGCCCGGTGAGGAGGATCCCGGGCTCACACGGCGAGTGAGCCAGGGAATCGGGGTTAGTAGGGCGCCGCCGAGGGCTTCGTCCGTGCCGACGGTTGAGGCGACCGAGTTCGTCGAGTTGCTCCAGGCCACGGCCGCGGCCGGGTTCTCCTGGTCATTGGCACCGCCATTGGACAGCAGGGTCATGGTGGACATGTCCGGGATGGCCGGCGGGAGCGGGTAGGTGTTTGCGCCGCTGGTGACGTGAACCACACGGTCGACGGCGTGCAGGTACGAGGCTAGGTGGCGGTAATGGCGGCGTGGCTCGAGCACAAGCTCCGCAAGGCGCTGAATCGTATGCGGCGGGTACTTGGGAAAGGTCGACAGGACGGAGTTGATCTCCTCGAGCATGGACACGATCTGGGCGGGAAGAGACCCCGGGGCGGCGGCGGCAGTGTTGGCGGCTTCGCTTTCGACGGGGATCGTCGATGACAACGGGACGTTGGACTTGCTGTTCTCTTTGTCGGCGTCCTGCGATGAAGGCAGGCTGCTGGCGGGTTCGATGGAGGAGGAAGGAAGCGGCGAGAGGAGTCGCGGTTGTTGGCCTGACGCGTTAATTGGTTGAGGAGGGGTGGGCAGGTTCGGAATAGGAAATTCATTATGGGCGATCTAGACATTCGCGATGCGAACTGGTGAGCGCGCCCTACCCAGAAGGTTGCCAAACATGTGCGGCCATGGAGTTATTCGGACGAGCTGGTCGTTTCGAGACGGGATGGTTGGGGAGGTGGACGTGGCGGACGTACCTTATCTAGCCTCGAGATGATTCCTTGCGATAGGGCGGGCCATAGACCACTATTGCAGCTCGTGGTTAGCAGCTGAGTATCAAGATAACGAGAAAGGGGGGCGTTTTGCTTTCCGACGTACTAATCCATCTGACCACCCGTCGCGACCGTCCGCAGGAGGTCCTCGTCGACCTCAATCTCCATTTTGGCGGGTTTGCAGGTGTCGGGAGAGTTGGTGGTGGATGAATGGTCAGCCTCCTCCCACTGACGTCGCGTGCTTGTGAAAAAGCGCGACCGGCAGGCAGAGACGGTGGTGCTAAGGGCGGGAGATGCGCCTAACAATTCGCCCCTCGCATCCAAAAACCATAAAACCCGGAAAAATTAGTGGCTTAAGAACGGAGAGGGAACACTAGTTTGAAGTAGCAATAGAGAAAGGAGTACGCATATCCAGCCAGCGCTCTTTCCTCAGCAATGGTCAATCGCATAAAACAGTACGCAGTAGGACATGACAAGCCGCGGAGCAAAAGACTATGATAAAAATCAAAATGTAAAAAAGAGATTTCATGATCGATGCAGGGATCGAACCTGCGATCCTCTGCGTGTAAAGCAGATGCCTTGAACCGCTGGGCCAATCGACCATCTTCGTTGTGATGTCCACCGATATTATGATATATGTATACATTCTGCTACTACTTACGAAGGCCGAGGGAAGGGATCAATGTACCTCCAGATCTTGAAGCCAAGGTGGCCGCAAAACACCTATTAAAATCATTAGATAAGTATAATTAAATACTTCAAGTTGTACTCTCTCTTGCTGGTCCATTTTCTTTTTCCGCCTGGAGCAGCAGCTGGTTCGAAGTGCAGATGAAAGAACGGATAGAGAGCAGTATTCAGGATGACCCGCTTCGCACGGTACCCACCGGCCGAGCCTGGTACGTACGTCACGCCGAGCAAAACGTGAAGCTCCAAGAGCTCTCCCGCAAACAAAACACCAAAAACCACCGCAACAGCACACCATGCGAGGTCTCCGCGCACCCAGATCGCTCCTCCGTGGCGCCAATGGCATGATACAAGCTTCTAGAAGGTAGTTCCCTTCTCTCCGATGCCGCGCAGAGAAGGAAACCCCCCAATTGACCAAGACACAGCCAGGCGCAGGCGCCGCTCGCGGCTCGCCTGATCACAGCGTCTGACGCCCTCGCGCCGACTAGGACGACGACGACCGCAGCCCCCTTCGCGGCACGGCCCTTCTCGCACTCTGCCCCTCTACAGAAGGAGAAGAAGAAGTCTCGGCAGTCCCCGACCTACGACTCGACCGAGATCGTCTCTCGAACCTCCCACACCGTCGACGATGCCGACCACGACGACCTCCCCGGCTCCAAGCACCCGAAGCCCGACCCGGCCGACCCCCTAAACTTCGCCGACGTCGCCTCGCGTCTCGCGTCCCTCGCCGCCCACCACACCGAGGTCCTCAAGCTGCTCCAGTCTGGCGACCGCTTCTCCCCGGACGCTATCGGCGCCCTGACCGTCCAGCCCAGCCGCAAGGACCCGACGACATACCCCCTCCGCGAGCTAGCCGAGATCGTGCCCCGGCCCGGTGGCCGTACCGTCTCTCTCCTCCTCCACGAGAAGGACTACGTCAAGCCCGTTATGGCCGCCGTCCAGGCCTCGCCCGACTTCAACCAGCAGCCGCAGCGCGACCCGGACAACGAGCTCGAGCTCGTCCTCAAGATCGAGGCGACCAACAAGGACGTCGTCGTCCGCCGGGCCAAGGACGCCGCCCAGGCCTGGCGGGAGAAGATGCGCACCGTCACGGAGAAGCGCAAGAAACTCCACGCCAAGTGGCAGAAGGACAAGGCCATCGTGCCCGACCTGAAGAAACGGGCCGACAAGGAGCTGCAGAAGCTGCAGGACAAGGAGATGAAGGTCGTCGACGCGGCGGAGCAGCAGGCAGTCAAGAAGATCCAGGGATGAGGCTGATGTCTGGCGGATTCTCTCTTGGCCCCGTCTTCTGACAGCCGGAGAGACCCTCCCTCGAACGCGGGAGCGCCATGTATATAAATGTTTTGAAAGAGGGCATCTTTTCTTCTTCCCCTGTCACCAAGGTATGGATGGCAAGAAAGAAAAAGAAAAAAAGAAAAAGTCTTTAAACGTTCGGTCTGTAGTGTACAGTAGAAGAGACTTTTGCATCCAAATGTACAACGTTTTTTTGTCTTTTTCAACTCTCTCCTCTAATCCTACAATGCTCGTCTTCTTCCACTCGCTCGTCTTCTACGTGCGTGTATGTAGTTACAATTGTGTTGCAAAGGTCCTCAAGCCCTTGCGGTCTTGCCTCCAGCAGCAGGCATCCCCTTGGCCACCAACGCCGCAATCTTGCCATCAAACTTGCGCCCATCGACCTCGTTGTATGTCTCATTGACCAGGTGCGACTCCCTCGCCATGCTCACCGGGTCCCGGCTGCCCCGCTCCACGAACTGGGGGGTCACGTGCCGTCCCTTGACGACGCGGTCGATGATGTACTCCCGCACGGCCTGGCTCGCGCTCTCCTCGACCTTCGTGGCCAGCGCGGCGTTGACCTTGACGCTCGTTGCCGCATCGTCCTCGGGCGCCGCTCGTACGTCCCCGAGGAACTTGTCCTTCTCGGCCAGGTCGCTGAAGAAGTACGTCCCCTTGTCTTTGAACACGAGATCCGTTGTCGTGTGCTGCGTGTCGGACCAGTGGTCGGGCGTGTAGTGCGCACCGCCCGCCACATCGCGGAGGGATCGCATGACGGCGGCCGGCGCGGCGACGGCCGATGATGCACTGGTTATCGGCAAGGACGGGGTGAACCCCAGCAGCCCCTCGACGTTCAGGGAGGGGGTGAAGGCCTCGGGCAGGAACCCTTGATCGCGCGCCCGGACGTAGGTGTGCTCCTCCGCTGTCTCGGGACGGAAGAAACGCTCGTACACCGAAGCGCGGTTGGCCTTGCTCTCCGCATCGTTGGCCCCGTCCTCGCCCTCTCTTCTGGGTTTTCGGCCGCCGCGACCGCCACGACCGCCGCCGCCACGACCTCCGCGTCCTCTTGACCCTCCCCCACGGGCCCCAAAGCCGCCTCGTCCGCCGAAGCCACCACGTCCACGGCCGCTGAAGCCGCCCCGGCTAGGTCCTTCGGACGAGAACCCCGAGGGGAGGTCGCGCCCTTCACGTCCGCCGACAAAGCCTCCGCGTCCGCCGCGCCCGCCGCGCCCGAAGGCCTGCGGCAACTTCACGAAATTCGTTCCGCCGCTGAGGCCGCCGCTGAGGCCGCCGCGGTTGGGCAGGGTCTTGACATCGATGACTTTGGGCTTCGCGCCGGCGGCCGCCGCATTGTTGCTCGCTCCGCCGGTACGGGGCCCGCCTCTCAGAAGCTGGCCAATCTCACTGGCCGCGGCGCGGGATCGCTCTCGTCCGGTCGAGAGGGGTACTCTCTTGAAAGGGGCCGCGCTGCCATTGCCCTTGTTGTTGTCGGAGGAGGGTTCGTCTGCGGCGCGCCATTGCGTGGTGGAAAAGGTTCGGATGCACGTCTTGATGGCGACGACTTCGGGCTTTATACGGCTGCCGGCCGATCGCAGAGCCTGCTGATGCATTTTTGGGCGGATTCGGGGCGGCAGATCCGCGATCGTTGTCTGTCCAAAGTGGTGATGAGCTTCCTTGCTAAAATCATCAATCTCGGGAGCTATCTGAGAAAAGTCTTCGTTACGTAAGCTGCTGAGTGGAATGGGTGCCGATCGATTTGGACACGGACCCGCCCAAGGTACCCCCTTAGTATTGTTACGCCTCAGGCCACTCACTTATTGAGTGGCCAAAAGCCCATGGGAATCATTATGTGCACATTGTCATTCATGCTGTAGGGTCTATAGGATAGGTATCTTCACATTAGGATATACTCCGATTTGGCGAGTATCAAAAGATACAGGTAGGGTGTCCATCGTCAGTCGGGTCCCCTGTTCTGTACATTGCCCGTGGCTCATCTTCGTTCTCATGCTTTCCCACCCGCAGTATTCCAAGCCTTGTTCCTCAGAATGCTTTCTCTCTGCCTCTCTCTCTCTCTCTCTCTCTCTCTCTCTCTCTCGCACAAAATGCAATTCCCATGACCAGAAAAAAAGCCAGTTCGTCCTCCCGAGTTAGTTTTTTTTGAGATCAGTTAACCTTCCTCCCCACCCCCGAACGCCTTTCTGTCTGTTCGTCTAATGCCGCTTTACCAAACACGTCGGATATAACGAGAGGTTCTCGCTGGCGAAGAATAAATGAGTCGATGCCGGAAATTCAAAGTCCGGGATTCAAATCCACAGGCTCCCCCAATGCTGGTGAGATGACAGCTTGCAATTAGCAAGCTCAAGAAAGAGACCGCCCCCCCCCCCCCCCTCCAAAGCCCAGTACCGTTCAAGCCGAGGCCACAGGTGGTACAGCGGTTGAAGCCCTGTATTTTGAAACCAACTCCTCAATCTTGGGCATCAAGTCTGGTATTCTAAAGGGCTTGGAAATCACGTCGTCCTGGAAAGAAAGGTCAGTAGGGTTCGTAGCGGACAAGCCCAAGACGACTTACAATACCGGCGGCTTTCGCGCTCTCGATCTGCTCTGGCCGCGCGTAAGCCGTGACGGCAATGATGGGTATATGCGTTATGAGAGTTCCAGCCCGCTCTAGTTCACGAATGCGTTTGGCACACGTCATTCCATCCATAACCGGCATCTCCAGGTCCATGAGAATAACACTGAGATCGAATCCTTCGGCCTCTTGCCCGGCCCAAAATCGAGACTTTTTGAGCTGGTCGAGAGCCTCACCCCCATGATTCGCAACGTGAGTGTTGTTGCCATAGTTCTGGAGTTGTTTTCGCAGAACTCTCTGGTTCACAATGTTGTCTTCCACAATCAGCACGTCATAAAGCGGCGGCGCTGCGACGACCGGCTTCTTGTAAGACGCTCGCCTGGGCAGTGTTGTAGGCGGAAGAGTCGGCGGGCTCGGGGCGGCGGTTCCGCCCTTCTGGGGCTGGGCTAGGTTGAGCGCTGAAAGGGTCGCCGACTCTGAGCTTGGCGTTGGCGTCTTGCGGCATTTGACGTAAAACGCAAAGGTGCTGCCAATGCCCTTTTCGGAGACGACGCCAATCTGCCCGCCTTGCAACTCGGCCAGCATCCGCGAGATGAAGAGGCCGAGACCCGATCCGCCGTATTGCACGTGGGTGCGGGGTGAAGCCTGGGAGAAGCGCTGGAATAGGAGCTTCTTCTCGTCCTCGCGTAAGCCCGGCCCCGTATCTTGCACCGAGAAGTGAAGGTTGATCTCTTCTCCAGTGCCCCAGTCCTTCTCTTGAATCAAGGCCTGAACGTCCTCCTTGCGTGTTGGGAAAAATGAGACGCCCTTCTCTGTGACCTCGGTGATATTTTTAGAGGCGCTCATCCTCATCGTGATCAGGCGTTTCTCGCGGCCTTGGGTGAACTTGATGGCGTTGGTCATGAGATTGATCAGGACCTGTCTCAGCCTTGACGGATCCAGCTTGACCCAGTCGACACCATGAGTAATGTAGGCTTGGTCGATTGAGAACTCCAGTTTGATCTCGTGAGTGTTCAGCTCCGACTCGAACATCTTGATGACGTGCCTCACTATCGTAACGGGATGAGAATCGACCGGGGTCACTAGCAAGAGTTGTGAGTCAAGCTTCGACAGGGTAAGCACGTCGTCGACGATGCGCTTCTGATGACTGGCGCAGAGATTGATGGTACTAGCGGCTTCCGTACAGCCTTCGAGAAGAGTTTCGAGCTGCTTGTCGTCCTGCGGCTGCGAGCGGTACTCGGCGATGCTGTTGACAATTTCGTCGGCGCACTGGAGAACGGCGCTTAGCGGGTTGCGCATCTCGTGACTGGTAATGTCGATGAAGTTCTCCTGCTGGCGCTTGAGCTCGACCGCCTCTTCTCTACGCTGCTTCTGGAAGTCCTCGGCCCATTTTTGAGGCGAGATGTCTGTGATGCAGGCAAAGATGCTCTTCAGATTGCCCTCCTCGGTTTGCTCGGGGAAAGCGCTCATCAACACCCAGGTATCGATAGTGTTGACGCCGTTCTGGCGGCTGTATTTGAAGCGGAACTCGATCGTCATGGCCTCCTTTTCGTCAATGAGTCTCCTCCAAGCGCGCTCGACGCCCGGGCGGTCCTCGTCCATCACGCTTTGCATCCATGTGTTGGCGCTGTCTTCTGTCCTGGGGTGTCGAGAGATCTGCCACCACATGTCGTTGGCGAAGTTGATGAGACCCTTGTCGTTGGCAATAAAGATGCCCACCGGGGCGAATTCCGCCATGCGCGTAAACTTGTACTCACTTTCGACCGCTTCTTGCGTCCTCTGGTACAACTCCATTTGTAGCTCCTGGCGATCCAACGCGGCCAAACGAGCGGCCCTCTGGCCCCTCTTTATCTCTTCTTCGAACAGCACGACCGATGCCATTGACGTCGCTAGTTGTCTAGACAAGAGATGGATGAAGAGCTGGTATTCATCGTCGTACGGCCTACGGGGATTGGTGCCCAAGATGATGAAACCTACAACAGACTCGCCGGCCGTGGTGGGATGGACGGGAAGGATGACGATCGTCCTCGACGGGTCGCCGAAACCCCTCCACTCCAGGCCTTCGAGCAACTTGGTCGGAAGGTTGCCTGCATCTACCGATAGTACGATGGGCGCTCCTTGCATCGTCATGGACTGCCGCATGTAAGGTGCGAAGCCTTCGTCTGAGGACTTGAGATCGAGGAGGCTGAGGGCAGCTGGGTGGCCCTCGGGAACGCCCAGGCTGCCTTCGAGATGCAACAGTGGGGGGTGCGCTATGCTCCCTGAGTGCATGGAAGACACTTCGCTTTCGCTGTTGTCGTCCCTGACAGAATATATGAGGGCGAGCGGCACATCCAGGTCGTTGAATTCCAGACCCTCCTGTACCCGTGACCAGAAACCCTTGACATCCTTGGCAGAAGCGGTCTTCTCGCCAACTTCGCGCAGCGTGAGCATGCGACGTTCATTGACCTTGCGACGGGTGTTCTCAAATGCCGGATTGTAAAGTCCGACAACCTCACCATCACTGCCCAATAACGGGATGATGGACCACGAAAAGAAGGTCTCCTCCACAAACCCGTGCCGCTTTATAAAGAGCTGGTTATCGTTCTTCATAGTTGACTGGCCATTTGTCCACGCATTGGCAATGACAGGCTCGAGGTCGTGCCATATCTCTGGCCAAGCGTCTTGATACCGCATGCCCATGAGTTTCGGGTGCTTCTGGCCAGCAAGTTCGATATAAGCCTCGTTGTACAGAGTGACATTGTCTACTCCCCAGTACATGGCGGCCGGGTGAGGACTACCCATGACCATGTTGGCCATGGCTCGCAGTTCTGGGCTCCATTGCTCTATGGGGCCGAGGGACGTAGACGCCCAGTCGGTATTTCGACAAAAGAGGATGTGGTCGTCCAGATCTGGGGTGGCTTGGATGCGGGTCCAGTCGAAAGACGGCTTCGTCATGGCCGCCTGGAACACCTGCTGAGTGAACTCGTCCGAGTGATACTTCTCACCGTTGTCTCTCATCACACAGTCGGTCACGAGCGAAGCGTCCTCGGTGGCATGAGGGTCGGGTTCAATGTCGCCAAAGTAGTCGGGTTCGTCGTCCATGGGTACAGCGGTGGATGGTTGGTTCGGTGTCGGGCCTCTGCTCCGCTGCTCGAGAACATCGGACTCTTCAGCCAGAGGGGCGGGGGAACCGGGAGCAGTCGATACGGCACTCGTGTTCCCGCTCACGAAGCGAAAGCGTTTGCGCAGGGTTGAGCAAGTCCACGTGATGCCTCCGTAAGTGTGAGAAGGAAGACATACGTCGAGCGATTCATGGTTCAACACAAAACTGGTGGCCCATGTTTTGAAAAGGATATAGTCGGAATTTTTGGCGGCGTCGTCGCCCTCTACAGACAGCAGCTCCAGGACTCCTGCCGAAGCGCGGAGTGCCGCGTTGGCGTACAGCAAGTGCAGTCCCGTCCTTTGCGTGTTGATTGGATTCGCGAGATCGATGATAAAGGTCGGACGCTCGTCCTGTTCCAGGAGCTCTACTACGCCGACTCCCCTTAATATTTGCAGCCCTTGCGGGAGATTTTGGTTATTTGGACTTTTTGCCGAAGACGTGAGTGTGGCTTCCGCGGACGACGACAAGCTACTGCTCCCCGGAGTGCTACCGGATCTGGCCGGGCCCTGCGTATGAACGGTGCCGCGGGGTAGGCGAACAGTGTGAACTCCCTCGTTGTCCTCCCTCAAACGGGCCAGCAGAACAGCTGCGGCGTCTGAGGGGGGGAGGGGGTTCGGCCGAGGGGGCATCTGTCGTCGGGTCTTGGAGGAGGAGAAGAAGAGAGGGGAGATGAGCCCTTGGTTCCGTCTCGCGAATATAGCCGAAGGAGGGGGCGCCTTTGGAAGAGAGATGAATCGAGGGGGTTCCAGGTGAGTGCGCGGCTTCTTCAGAGGCGAGGGCTGGGTCTGCGCAGCGCCCGGTTCTTCGTCCGGGTGACGCTTGCCTTGCGACGACGTTGTATACCTTGGGGTGTGGGATGGGCCCGTATGCAATGCCACGGTCGGGGAGGTAGGGTCCGATGTGGGCGTCAAGAGGGAGGTGGAGAGGGCGTCGAATGAATGATCGCAAGTTGAATCGCTGTACGTCAAACCATACCGACCAATTTCAGGCGTTGCCCATTGCCCTCCCGGACTGAAATTGGTTGGGGTTGGCGAGGCGGGATGGTAACGAGGGTCGCTCGACTGAAAGCCCGGGGTCGAGGCGGTGGGAGAAACAGAGGCGGAGGAGGCCACGGGTGTCGCGGCGGCAGCGGCGGCGGCGGCGGCGGCGGCAGGAAAAGGGGTCGCCGTCGTGGATCTTGTCGCCGTCGTGGTGGTGGTCGTGGTGGTGGGCGCTGCGATGTATCCCGAGGCACGATAGGAGCGGTGCGAGGTGGGCGAGGGCGAAAGCAGTTGTAAGGTGGGTTGTGGGAAGCGGTCGTCGCCCTGCGGCATGAATGCGCGGGAGGAAGGGGTGAGGATGAACGGCGGCCGCGAAAGTCGGACCGGCCTAGAAATTTTCGTCTCGTGCCTCCAAGTCTATGGTTCTCTTCCCCTGTCGAAACTAGAGTGAATCCCTTTTAGCGACAGCGGAGACAACAGTTGAGGCAAGTGCAGAGGTGGAAAGCACCGACAGATCAGCACAGACGGGGACGCAATACGACGCGGTTGTGGGTTACGGGTACGGATACAGGTGTGTAGGTGCGTGCAGGTGCAGGCACGGGGCCACAGAACGGGCTAGCAGCAGCAAGGCGCCTGTGGGCGAACAACAAGTACAGAAGCCACCAGTGTCTAGATGGGCCTTCTCACTCTCTCTCCCCTCTCTGTGTCTCTGTCTCTCTCTACCTTGCTGCTGCTGCCGGGGGTGGGTGCGAGGGTTTGTTGACGACCGAGGCACGGGAATCTCGATCAAGCGAGGCTCGGCCATTAAGAGGAAGAGAAGGGGCCTGCAGGCATGGAGTCTGGAAGGGACGGTGGTGGACTGATGCTAGGGGCGCGACTGGGGACAGGCAGGCTTCGAATGGGGGAGGGGGCAGGTTGCAGCGACTGGGGGGGGTGGTCAGGAGTTGGGGAACAAGGTGACTTGACAACCCGACCAACGAAGACGACTAGGTAAGTACAGATGCAACTGCAGATGGGCGGCGCTACTGCCACTGGCAGTAGACCAAAAAGTGATAGACAACAGGCCTTGCAGCAAGACGTCAGGATTGTGCCGACTGCCATAAGCTATCAAAGCGGAGCAGCCAGGCGGGCGGGTAGTGGTGGTGATGATGATGCCGGGGATGGTGACGAGCAAGGGGAATCAAGCACTGTTGTAGCACGGGCAGAAGGGTCGGGAACGGGAAGGGAAAAGATTGGATTTACCAGGATGAGGATAAACGCAATCCAGTCTACCGGCAATCGACACCACACACAAAAGTGCGGTGCACAAGATGCGCGGGCTTTGGTGTGGGCGGTGGTGGTGACTGGGAACAAGTAGGGTCAAGTCCGGTGTCAGGTGCAGCACGGTGCATCAAGCGTTGCGGCAAGGCGAAGAAGGCACAAAAAGTACGGATGGTAGGGATGGTCTGGCGAGGTAGGCGCATCGACGCAGCAGCGGGTCGACAGTAGGATGGGACGAGGCGGGTTTGTTGGTATCGCGGTTTTAGCCGTGGAGCAGTCCGTGATGGCGGTTGATGTACGTGGATCAGAAAATTTGAATCGAGACGCTGTATGGGAAATCGGTGTCCGGATGTCTAAAGAGGAGTCGTGGCAAGGGAACGTCGCATTGGCTCGCTTTTTTTTTTCTTCCCCTTCTTATCCGGCTCTTCTGGTCTGGTTTGGCGTGGCCTGGCTCGGACTGGACTTGAACCGGTTTGGAATGGTCTGGCAATAAGGCAACGCGCCCCGGTACCAGAGCGCGGGCGCGAGACTGGGATGCTGGGCGAAAGGTCAAACAAGACGGCGAATGAGATTTTGTTTTTGGCAGGTGGCAGATCGGTTGGCAGGCAGAGAAGAGGGGGGAGGAAGAAAGAGAGTGTGTGTTTGTACACTATGTATGTATGTGAGGTGAAGACGTGATTTGTTCAATACATAGGAGAAAGTGAGAGGGAACGACGTCGAAGAACATTGGCCCAAAAGGGGAGAGACAGTGGTAAGGTACATAAGCCTATGCCCGTCGAAGCAGCAAGAGCAGAACAGAGTGACTTCCCAATAGACAGATACCGCTTCTGCCCTCCCCCTTCCCGTTCTGTCCATTCTTAAGTATGAGTATCCATCAGCATCCAGCATCCAGTCACCCCTTCACCCTTTCTCCTTCCTCTTCCCCTTCCCTTCCCTCTTCCCTGTCCTTCCCTGTCCCTGCTGTCTTTTGCTTTTGGATGCGGCTCCTGCAATCCTATCCTTCGTCTTGCTAAATTGCCATCCCACGTCTCACGTGGATACATACCATGGGTAGGTAGTATCTACCCAGTTATCTATGTGCCTTGGCCCTTCACGCTAGGTAGCCCCGCCGACACTGCCATTGACGGAAGCGTCAGCAGAGCAGAGACAATGCTAGTCCCCTCTTCATATTGACAGACAGTGGGCTTAAAAAAAATTGAAGAATGAAATGGAAATGGACGACTGCGAATGTATGTGTGTATGCATGTATGCATGTAGTATGTGTGACCTGTATTGACTGTGTGTAGCTATCCGTACACTAGAGGTACTTGCGGCGAGGAATAAGACGTGAGGTACACGTAGGAGTGGGGCACTACCTACCTACCTAGGCTTGGGACGTTCGACGGCATGCAAGATTCACTTTGGCACTGGCTGGTTGGCTGGAATTGGAACTGGAACCGCGACTTCGACTAGGGGCTGAGCCGTACAGGAGGGTAGAGTGGTATTTGGACTCGGGTCTGGATTCTGGATTTCTTGGGACCTGGGTGGGGGGTGGGGGGAAGACCCCCATTTCCACAGAGGAGCTTTTGTGATCCAGCCGCCCCCCCGAGGGGCTCACCCTGGCCTTATCATTCGTTCCTTTGCGTTCTTGTGTCCGCCGCTGGAGGCAGCTACGATGCTGCTGATCTGGTTCTCTTTCTCTCTCTCTCTCTCTCTCTTTCTCTCCTTCTCTCCTTCTCTCCTTCTCTCTCCGTGAGAAGCTCCATGCTACCTTGCCATACCTTGGCCGCCTTCACTTCTAGGTAGTGTACCTAGTGTACGGGGTAGCCTGTTCCGGTATCCTAGCCGATTGTCGGCTGCCCACAGTCGATATTCTCCCGCCTTATCGACTAGCGTACCACACTTGGTACCTACCTATGCAACCGAAACTACATCGCAGGTACCTCGCTCCATGGTTTACACGGTATGCATACATAGTACTGCTTTCGTCGCTATTCACCCATGGCAGAGTCCCACTGGACTAGTGACTTACGTCATCCTCGGGAATGCCGTTCCGTTGAGTTACAATTGACGGACAGGTGGCACTATACTATACGAGATACCACTAGCATGGCTCAGCCATCCTCCTGGAGACACAGGCGCACAGCCGTACCGTTATAACCTCGTGGGTCGGTAGCTGCCCAACTCCCGTCACTCTGTTGCTATATGGAACTACGACTCACGGATGCATAGTACCTCGCGTAGTGCCGCGTGGCTTCTTGGGACGGTAAATGCTGGGTCGAGTGGAGTCACGGCCGCTTCGAGGGAGACGGTGTCGATCAAGGGCCCTCGTGCGTGGCAAAAACTCGTCTTACGGTAGTATATCCGTACAGTCAGTAGGTGTAAGGATTCGACTCTGCCGGTCTCCATTCCATTTTCTTTGGTCCATGCCCGCCTTTGCTTGGACATGGCAGCAGCCAAGAGCCCCCTGCTTGTCAGCCGCCATGCGTCCATGTCCTCGGCTCAACCTCTGGCCCCCCCCCCAGTAGGTATGCCAGATTTCACCCCCGCCGACTGCCATCTTTGGTCCCACACACTGCTGCCCGGCAGTTGTGTACTTGCCTGATGGAGCTTTTACAACAGCCACAGATCATCATCGCAGACAAAGAAGGTGGGAGGTTGCCCAACTACGTGTACTAGTCGGGAACAGATCCTTATAGATCGGCAGGGCACCGCCGAAACATGGGGAATGGAAGGGAGCGAACTCGCACCAAGATCTCGAGCAGAGAACGGGCAGTGTTATTTTCCCTTTACTCGACCCCAAACGCCTCAGTCAGCATTAGCTCCCCGCCTGGTCATAACAGCCATCTCTCTGCTACGCTCAGGTGCGCGATACTGGGCATTTCTGTGATATGTGCACGGCACGTACCTATAGAATTCCTACGGGGGCGAATTCACATTTCTCAGCAACGGCGAGACGACAGTTGATCTCGATGCAATGAAACTGACTCTCGGATTCGGGACAGTGTCCGGGACGGGTGATATCGGACGTGGGGAGAAGACGAGACTGAGTCAAATGGAAAGAGGGTCGGGCACTCCAGTCAGACAGATAGATAGCCATTACTGAGACACTTGTCCTCTGCAGAGCAAACGGTTCGCAGGTCTCAGCGCCGTGTCTCTCTTTCCGAATTGGCAGGAATACTCCTTCCCTGTGAGTCGTCTGCAAACGGAGTGGCAGGCGGTGACAAAGCAAGAAACGACGGCACTCGTGGAGCGGCTCACTCGGCTTCTCTTCAAGGCAACAACAAGCAGTGGGAATATTCGTGAAGAACTCCGAGGCTTTGCGTCACTGAGGCTCTACGGAGTACAGTGCATTGCAAAGAGCTTCTCATTCCACAACACAACCAAAACAGCCGCATTCCGACAGGGGGTCGTCAGCAACGGTTCTAGGTAATTACCCACATCGAAAGGCGAACCCGATAGACGACGGGCTGGATGGGAAAGAGTCTACAGACAAGCTGATAATGCCCCCCCCTTGACAACCCGAGAGTACCGTGCACAATAACTAATAGGGGCCCGTGCACAGTTAAGCTGACAGTAGAGTAGATACGCGCACACACGTCACAAAGGTCTATAGTTCCAAATCAAACAAAAAATTTTGTTCTTCTCGCTCTATATAGTCTAGCAGTAAGTAGTGCTCCTAATAATCTAAAGGTTATGGGTTTAATCCTAGCTTTTTCTGACTTTTTCTGACTTTTTCTTTAGGTAATTCTAAAACGGCTCTGCTAGGGAGGGTTAGAATGGTCTATCCCACCCTGCTTCCTCCGCTACGCTCTAGGTTAGGATGGGCCAAGACTATCCCTTTTTTCCCTCTGTTACCTCTATTACCCCTATTTTTTTGCCTCTATTTCTACTTTTTCCCTCTGTTTTTTCCCTCTATCTATACCCTTATCTATTGGCTATGACTGTATCCACTTTCAGCTTAACTGTGCACGGGCCCCTATCAGTTATCGTGCACGGTACTCTCGGGTTGTCAAGGGGGGGGCATTATCAGCTTGTCTGATCGCTCGATGGGAAAGTGCCAAGCCTTCAAACCTATAGAAGCATTACCATAGGACTACGGATAGATACTCCGTATATACTGTACGTACCGGCATGCGGTGTGTGGGGTCCTAACTAGGATTACCCTTGTCAACTGAGCCCTTTCAGTCGTGAACTGGCGCGGTCCAGACCGTGATCGACCCCACCCGAGTTTGCCGATCGAGGATCGTCACCTGCCAGTTCTGAATCACCCATTTTGCTCCGTACACTGCCGCCATTTGTCCCAGTCCGGCACAGCCTTTTTATGGCTGCCCTTTCGGTGCTGTTTCTTTTCTGCGACTGCCCTGTCTTGCACGACCTCACTTTCGGCGCCTTCAACATCAGTACCTACCTAGGTAGGTATCTAGTGTACATCAGCACCAACATAGCATCAGCATCTGCATCTGCGTCTGCATTTCTCACAACATTCCCCGACCTTTGTGCCCATGGCCCATGTAATAACCTGTCGACGCAACTCTCCTGGCACCACCAGCCAAATGTTTGACGCTTTGCCTGGTCAGCACTGAGTTCCACCTTGAGTGTGTCTCAGCCACTGTTGCAGGCACTTATTCATCGCGTGCGGTCATGACTTTCGTTATCATACTCGGCATCAACGCACAGGTTGGCGAGGAGAATCCGTCCACCCAATCCTACCGCCTTTCAGTTGGGTGCGTTCCATGTCAAGAATATGGACAAACTATGCAAATCAAGGTACGGCTCTAACACCCGAGGCATTGCTGATGGGCCCTGGCGCCCTGCTTGAGTCCGAGGCCAACCCCCATGATTACCAAACGACCTGAAGCTATAGCTGTCTGTGACTACCCAGCCAACCAGCTTTCCTGCGGGAACAGACTGGCCACCACCAGGTCGAGTCGGGTTGGTCGGAACTCTGGCCATCACATCAAGCTCTCAAGCTCCTGCTGGCGCTACATGTCCAGTCGAAATATCCAAGCACTCTTACATGTCCTCGCCGTGACCTTCTGGCCGCTACGCAAAGGTGGTAGAGACCCGCGCAACTGATGGCTTCGGGAAGCAACCGCCATATAGCAGGGGTGTGACGTCAACTCCAGGTCCCCCATGTCTCGTCTCGGGGCCGGAGAGACCTCAAAGACACTGTTGTCTGTGGAGGGATGAGAAGGAGTACATCCCACCCCTTCGAATGCCTCACCAAGACGGATACCTGCGGGAGCATTCTCTCCTTGCTCTGTCTCTCATTATTCCGTAGTGAGACCGTGTCCAGGACTTCCAATTCGTCGGCTAATTGTTGCACTTGGGGGGTTGTTGTGCTGGCTGGCTTCGGAGCTAGTAGCTGCGGTGTAAGCATCAGCCCTATAGTTGGGTTGCCAAACGGCTTCATCCGCTTTCCGCGATGCAGGGGAACACCTACAGCCCAAATGATGCCTCGGTGTCGGCCGGAGGTGCGGAGCTCACTCCGAAGGACCGGCCCCCAGGGGGTGGGGATCCCCATTTCCTCGTGCAAGTGCCTGCGGGTCCTATTAATCGCAATGGGTGTCTCTTACTCCTCCCTACGAAGTTCGCATGATTCTGCTTCGGCCACGAGCCTCCATCGACCCGGTCCGAGGAGTCCTAAACCAGGTTCGCGGCCCAGTTGGTGTCCTAGAGCCGCTACCTAAGTGCTGGAACGGCGTTGCGCCTCCCTCTGATGTCGCCGTAAGTTAGTTGTGAAGGACTCGGCGGGATGTTCACAAGGTTGAGTCGGGCCCGGAAGTTCGTCCGAAAGACAGACAAACTCAAGCGCTTAGTCCAATTGACCACTCAAAACTTACCAGGCATGCCACTGTCAATCTCGAGTCAAATTGGCAGTCGCGCGTAGGACAGTAACGATAGACTATGGTACTAAGTTCGAGCAGGACACCCCGATTCAATGAGAGCCCGTTATCCTTCTCGGTGGAAGCTTTTTATACCTCGACTATTAATATCTTGGGTGTGGCGTCGTCCTTCATCACTGCCGGTCGAACGCATCGGGGCTCACATAAGCTCTAAAACCGTGCGAGTGTGGGATTTCCGACAGCACGCCGACCTGTCTTACCTCCCGGTGTGACATGGAGGCGCAATCCGTGATTGACGGCACTCTGTAAGCACGGCCACTCACTGGCCTGCTGTGTCTCCAGTGTGACGCTGCATTTCGAGTTGTTGGATGTTCCTGCCATCCATTGCCGCTGTTCCGGGGAAAGTATCCACCGCCACATCGAGCTCGGTTCATCACATCCGGGTATCGCGACGTCTTCAGCAGGCGCTTAACCCCCCGTCTCATGCGCGGAAGAACCATCGTAATCACATTGTGATAGTTCCGACTTGAGGGGGCAGGTAGCGGTCATCACCGCGTGCTGGAGGCGACGACTGACGCTCGCCCACTTGTCTCTGGTTTCTGCCGCGCAGCCCGTTGCATCGCACCAGCATCGCACGAAAAGGCTCATCTCACTCACCATTTTCCCCCTCGTTTTCTCCCCCAGCCATCCGCCCGACATCCAATTGGCGAGAACCCCAAATCTTCGCCTCACCCCTGTCCTCGTCGAGGCGGGTATTGTGCGCAACGTCGCGTCTCGCCGTCACTATTGGCTGGTTCCCCGGGGAAGCGACCAATTGCACGGCCCCTCTCGAACCCGGCGCTTAACCACCCTCCTCGCCTTCGCTCCTTATTGGATCGGCCCGCTGTGATGGCACCGTTCGTAGTCCACGGCACATGCAGCGCGGTCCAATTGCCCGCGACCATCAGCTTACCCGACCACCCCCTCGCCGCTCACCTGCTTGCTGACTTGCTTGCGTCCGCCCCCCCCCCCCCCCTCCCCCAAGGCGAATGGCGATGAATGGATAGAATGAACAGGAGGGCTACCTGCAGAGGGTGAGGTAGAATGGCCCTTAAACTGCCACCCTGCCCCCCGACCCGATAGGAGGCTCTCCTCTCACCCGGTTTTCTTTTCATCTGCCTTGGAAGAATCCAACCCGTTTCAAGGCAACGACGACGATCCAAGCCAATAAACACCAGCCCCTTTGCTTGCGTTGGCTTGCAGCACTTCACCAAGGTTGAGTGCTGGTGCTTGACCGATGTGAAATTTCATCGTTTGCTTGGCGACAACTGCGCCTCGACACAGAAAATAACGAAATACAAGGAATTCTTATCCTTGACGAACGGGCTAGGGACAAGGCTTGAGAAGAAGAAGAGCACTTCCGAACTTTTGATTTGGTCAACGCGACAGAAAACGAATCAAGGGGGCCGCGTTGTAAGAGGCATTTGCGACACGACAAAAAGCCGGCCAGGGGGAAGGAGAAAACAGGGAAAGAATCAACTGTAAAAATGCCATACCAGATCTTGCACAGGAGATGGCTGCTTCGGCCGTGGATGTGGGCGCTGATGCCGCTCGAGCTCGCCGGCCTCGTGCCGCTCCTCGTCCTCTTCGGCATCGCTCAACCGGACCTGTATCGGACCAAGCTGTGGGAGATCGGCCACCACTACGGCTTCAACTCAGACCCCAGGATGATTCTGTACGCGTACGCCAACTACGAGCCGTATCCTAACGTCCCTTTTGTGTGGACACGAACGTAGGTCCCCCCCCATCTCATCCCTCCGTATCGTGCCGGAATCCATGTTTGCATCATGGGACACATCTCGTAACACTCCCGGTATCAACAGAGCTAACGTGCCATCCCGTAGTCTCACCGACTTCAACGTCGCCATCTCCGTCATCACCCTATTCGTCCTCCTCGTCAAGCTCATCGCCTTCATCATGAAGTTCTGGTTCCCCATGCTTGCTGCCGGCATCAACCTCGCCATGGTCGCTCTCTACACCGTCTCCGTCTACGGACAGATGGGGCCCGACCACGCCGACCCGCGGTACCCCTCCAATGTTGCTTGGTACATCGCCAAGTCGTGCGACTACGCCCGCCCGTTCCGCGCATACAAGTCATGCCAGCTCGCCAAGGGGACGTTCGCGATCACGGTGTACATGCTCGCGCTGTACGTGGCTAACCTGGCCATTGCGCTGTACGTGTGTTGGCCGAACGAGAGAGACAGGGCGGGCGCGGTCCAGGAAGACGGGAGCGACAGCGGGAGCGGGAGCTCGCCGTCGGATTACATCAAGGAGAGAGAGTGGGAGATGACGGGCATGAAGGGACCTGCGAGCCCGAGGGTGATGCCGTATACCCCGCGGACGCAGGCGTTCCACACCCTGGACAGGAAGTTACCGCTGAGGCAGCATTATGGTTAAGTGTGGGGGAGCGGCTTCGAGGTCTCCCGATAACTTGAGGGGGGGGGGGGGGGGGGGGGCCGGCGATGGGAAAGTTTGACTTGTGAAGTTCTGTGGGTGGCCGAGGTCACGGCAATGATGAGAGAGATATATCCCTTCTTTTTTTTATGATCCAGAGGAGGCACCTGAAGTGGCTTTTATTACCCTTTTATTTACTCTTACTACTACCAACCAACCTGGGAGTTCGGAATGCCGACGGTGAGCTGTCACAGGAACAGCCCCAGACTGTAGTGAATTGGCTCCTTTGTGGGCGGCCTTTGCTCAACGAAAGGGAATGTCGGCGTGTATATAGTACGCAAATGGCCAATCTGCTGCAACGATACAGCTTTTATTTATGTGGATATTTTGTCCTAACTATGGCACTTGCGCGAAGATGAAGGTCGGGTTCCTGTACGTGTTTCATTGTGATGGCCAACTCGGTCCGTTGTCGATGCCACAGCGTCCCCAGGGCAAGTCTGCCTCTTGTCCGATGACAAGTCCTGTTACGTACTTCGATTTCTTTTCATCTTTTTTGTGAAGAAGAAGAAGAAGAAGAAGAAGAAGAAGAAGAAGAAGAAGAAGAAGAAGAAGAAGAAGAAGAAGAAGAAGAAGAAGAAGAAGAAGAAGAAGAAGAAGAAGAAGAAGAAGAAGAAGAAGAAGAAGAAGAAGAAGAAGAAGAAGAAGAAGAAGAAGAAGAAGAAGAAGAAGAAGAAGAAGAAGAAGAAGAAGAAGAAGAAGAAGAAGAAGAAGAAGAAGAAGAAGAAGAAGAAGAAGAAGAAGACCACTATGCTGGATGATGGCCGTCTTCTTGACCCCGCCGGCAATCTCGGCCGCCTATGCGTTTGTTGGTAGATACATCTCCACAAGCATCGCCGTTGTTCTCTACAACATGCATGTAGCCGCATCATACTGAGAGATGACGCCTACAGCGAGCCTTGCTGATGTCGATATCTCGGATCACAGGCTGTTTTGACAGCAATGCATATACAGTATGCCTGGCACTCCTACGTACATGCCATCACCATTCTATGGCATAGTCGGGCGGTCTTGCCTGGAGAAGAAAGTTGGTTCTTCGAACAATCGAGCAGCCCCTGCCTTCGCGCGCGGAGGGAAACCAGAACGATGACCCCATGTAGACCACCGACCGTCTCGTGCCAGATTTTCCGAGTAATCTTCTCTACGCGAACCTTGACGTGGACGATGGAGTGACGCCCGCGGGGGGGGGGGCTCTCGTCTCATCGGGATAACTGTTCCGTACATCTGGGTACGCAATCCACAGGCTGCTGGTGAAACCTCGACCGGAAGTTGTCGTAAAACCCCTGAAACTGACGGGTACAATGGCTTTAGCGGAAATGATGACGATGATATACGTCTACTACCGTGCTTTGGAATATCATAATTTGGTTTCCGGTATCGTGTTTTGGGTGCTCGCAAGACGGGATATGGTACTGTGCGAACGGGATGCACATCCATGATGTTGGAGGGTTACTTTACAAATCCAAAACGCATAACCCCCTCTGCACCCGAAACCTCTGTTGGAAGGACCAGGAAAAGGTGCAAGACAGGAGCATTGGGTCGCATTGCCTCCGCGTCTGCGTGTCTGTCTTGCTCACAAGCATACCCGGCGATATCGTCTTGCTTTTCGACGTCGAAGACATCCACCGCCCAAGGATGGTATTTTGAGTACAGTTTGGATAGTGACTTGAAGAGCGAACGATGTTAACGGGGCCTTGGACCAAACCCCCCCTTCCTTGATAATATTGACATCAAGTGAACCGTAGGTCTCGTAATAACCGCCATGATCAGATGGACAAAAGTTCGCTTCTCATTCTGGCATGGTAGAGCATTCATTGGCCTTTTGTCAAATGTTGTACATCGTATTGTGGTGCACCACGATGACGTTACTTGACATGGTTTGGCAGGGCTACGAAGGGAGGATAAATGCGTGTGTGTCTTTAGCAAAGAGTGCTATATTTCTCGAGGCAGCATCACGTGCGTTCTGTCTCTGCCCAAACGCTCTGTCGTCGGCTCTGGACAAAGCGTGCAAACGCCCATCAAGAAGGAGCACAAGGAGCCTCTTCCCCCCTGCCGTACGGAGCGGGAGGCTGGGTCTGCCAAGAGCTGCCCGACAACTACAAGATCGCTCCGGTCGATACTCAGGCAAATCAGTCGACCTACTCTGCTTTGTCATACTGCCGACCATCGACAGCCTCGCTGCGTCAACGACATACTTTGTCTGGATGTTTGAAGCAAGGAATTTAAAGCACGATCGCCATAACGCGTGTATCAACACCTTTACTACGCAAAGCGACCAGGGCAGAACTTCGCAGCTCGACTAGCTTCCGATTCAATGCCAGTGTTCTTGCATTTTCTTGGCCCACTCATCGTTCACTACCCACAGCGCCAGGATGGTTTACGGACAGGTTGCTGCCCTCTCGAAAGCCGGATAAAACAGAATGTCATTTGGTCTAGGCCCAGTCGCACCTTGACCAATTGGCAGAAACCGACCTTTCTTTTGATGCCTTCTAAGACAACGTAAATTACTCTCCGTAACAGAGACAAGGTCAACCCAACCAACAAACGCATTTCTCCACCACATGCGCGGCGGGAATTCAAGTGTTCCTTCCCAGTTGTCAGGAAAACAGCCCACGTGATGTTCCTTCACTTCCAAGGCTAGAACGGGCCATCTCGGACGCCGCGATCATGTAGTGATCCGCCGGATCGTGGGTCAATTTCCAACATCGCCTCAAGTCACCAGCTAGGTTGTCCCAGCCGGCCAGAATCGCGTGTAGAAAGGCCAAGGGCCAGGGGAGCCAACCGCATCAGTGCGTCGCAACTTGTGCCGTGGTCGAGGTCCACGATGTCAATAATCCATGCGCGAGCCCGGCCCGAGTCAGGGTGCAGAACGGTTGGCTGAGCGCGTGCGTCCATCGATCCTCCCCCCACGCCCCCAGTACTACCAACGCCGTCCCGGCCGCGACCCGTGTATGGGCCGTATCGGCCGCGTCGGTTACTGGACCGTATTTGCCAGATCAGAAGACGGAGTGGCCACCTGTCAGCGCTCGAACCGGAAAAGTCGCCCGCAAGAGCCTCCGGGGTCTCAACGTCGAGACCAAGGCGTCCGAGTCTGGCAAGCTCTCGGGACAACTGTTGAACCCATCCCTCGTCATCGAGAGGCAGAGACGACACGAAACAGAGCACGTGCCGACCGTTCGTCCGTCTGTCAGCTAAGGCCTCCCTTGCCCGAGAGATCCCCGCCGAGGACTAGTTCGCAGTCAAAGCTCCCAGCCGAAACCCCTCTTTGCCCGCCTGTCGCCTTTGTCAGTACTAGAGAGAGAGAGAGAGAGAGAGAGAGAGAGATACACACGGACTGAGGCAGCGCGAAGGCCCGGGGAACCAAACGAGTACTGGGGAGAGAGCGGAACGCTGCACCGAAGAGGCTTATCCCATCCATGCACTTGACTGACGCCCGGGGTCCCCTTTGTCCGTCCCCTCTACTACGACACAGACTGTCGCAAACGCTGTGTGGCACCGGTCAAACAAGCGAGAGCAGCGATCACCTTCCCCGCGAACCCCGCTTCATCTCCTCCCCTCAGGTGCAGGACGGCGTGGCAAGGCAGGTTATAGTGTACATGAACACGAACAGCCCGTCCAGACAAGAGATCGGGCCAGCAAGGGCAGGCCGATGGAGCCGTGCATCGTCGCATACGTTTCACGCTTATCAACCTTCTGGAACGTGGCTAGCAGGCTTCGCAGCTGCACGTGGTGTGGTGTGGTGGCAGGGTTCAGACTCTCACGCTTGTTCGCCCGTTTCGAGAATCGACGACATGACCGTTGGCGGGATTTGCCCACCGCATTTTTGACGCTGCAAGGCATGCAGACGGACGTGACGAGGCGCGAGGGCTTCCAGCTTACGTAGACACAGGCTTGAGCGACCAAGGCCGAGCACTTGACTACCTCACATCCGCCGAAAGTCACTACTAGGGCTGAATCGAAACGGACCAAAAATACACGACTAGGCAATACGCAACGAGCTTCTATTAAGTATTAAGTGGATGCGAACAAGCTGACACTAGCCCTAATGGCCAGCACAGACAGTTTCATGCAGTCTTTGTCCATCAACAGCAACGTCTCCAAACTCGAGTCTGACAATTCCTGACCCTTGCCCGAGAGTTGAACCAAACACAAGAGATCCGTCCATCCTGTCGACCCAAGGCAACTTCGATTTTTTGTCGTGGGTATTTTCCTTTTTTCGTGTTCTTGTCTGGAGCGACGGGTATAACTGGGTATCAAAGCACGATACTTGTAAAAAGAAAAACGAGATAAAAACCAAGCCAAACAAAAGAGAGCAAAGACGGAGGAAACTGACTTCGAGAACGACAGAAAATGAAACGGAATCACCTCCCGCCGGGTTTCGCCTTCCAATGCGTGTGCCGTAAAGAGGGAAATAGGAAAGGGTATCAGGTAGAACCAGTCTTGACGGGGTATCTTGAAATGCAGATCCGATTCCCGAACAAACCCATCCGAGTGAAACAAGTCACGTGATGTTTGTTGCTCTTCCTCCGAATCTCGATTCGATGCGTGTGCACTTGTTTTTTTTTTTTTTTTTGGTGATTTGATTTCTGTTTTTTGCTTGCTTCATTCCTTTGAGCGTGACTTCCGCTTGCGAGGAAGCGACGTCGAGCCCAGGCGCGCACTCTATGCGGCGGCGGTGACAGGGGCAGGGGTAGAGGAGGCGACGTTCTCAGGCTTGTTCTCGGGCTCCTCGGTGGCCTTGGAGGTCTCGGCGGCGGGAGTCTCGGCGGCGGGCTCAGCACCATCGGTAGCAGGGGTCTCCTCGGTCTTCTCCTCAGTCTTCTCTACCTTGTCGGCAGGCTTGTCGGCCTTGCCACGGGCCTTGATGGTAGCGCGGAGCTTGGAGAAGGCGCTGGTCTTCTCCTGCTTCTCAGCCTCCTCGCCCTCAGACTGAACGGGGGACTTGGCAGGAGACTTGTCGCGCTTCCCGAAGCCGAACGGCAGGGAAGACTTGCGCTTCTCCTTGAGCTCAGGGCGAGTCTCGCCATTGGTAGCGGGAGCGGTCTCCTTAACCTCAGTAGGAACGGTGCTGGGGTTGGCAACATCAACGGCCAGAGGGGTGGTAGCCTCAACGGGAGGGATAACGGGAGCATTCTCAGCAGCGGGGGTAACCTCGCCCTCCTTAGCGGGGGCGGGGGCGGCCTCCGGCTCGGCAGCGACGGCAGCCTTCTTCTCCTTCTTGCCGAAGACGCCAAAGATGCTGTTGCGCTTGGTAGGGATAGGCTTCTCCTTCTTCTCGTCCTTGGCGGCCTCTGCGGGCTTGTCCTCAGCAGCAGTCTCAGTGACAGCAGCCTCGGCAACGGGAGCGGCCGGGGTCTCGGCAGCGGGCTCCTCAACAACGGGGACCTCGGCGGCGGGAGTCTCCTCCTTGGCGGCCTCAGCAGGAGTGGCAGCAGCCTCCTCCTTCTCTTCCTTCTTCTCATCCTTCTTGCCGAGGAGGCTGCCGAAGATGGAGGCACGCTTGCGGCTAGCAGAGCGGCGCTTGGGGTCCTCCTTCTTCGTCTCCTCCTCCTTGACAGCCTCCTCGGTAGGTGCGGGGGCGGCAGGAGTCTCAGCAGCAGGGGTCTCGGCGACAGCAGCGGCCTCGGCAGCGGGAGCTTCGGCGGGCTTATCCTCCTTCTTCTCTTCCTTCTTGGCAGGCTTGAAGCTCTCAAGAGCGGTCTTGTAGGCCTCAGTCTCGGTGACGGTAGGGGCAAGCTCCTTAGCCTCGGCGATCTTAAGCTTCAGCTGGGAAATCCAGTTGTCACGGTCCTCGGCGTTGGGGGCCTTGAAAGTGTGCTTCTGACCCTTGGCAGTGAAGTGGAACTTGTTGGCGCCATCAGCGGCGGGCTCAGAGGCATCGGCCTGGGATGCTTGTTAGCGGAATGACTTCCGGGGGCGCGTTATCTCGAGAGGTCTTACCAAGTTGATGACTCCCTGAGGAGCGGCCTTGTCGCCGAAGAAAAGGAGGCCCTTGCCGGTGTGGGAAGCCCAGGCAGCGTTGTGGTGAGCAGTCTCGGCGGACTTCTCGCTCTTCAGGTAGGAGGAGAGGCTCTTGGACTCGACGGCATCGTTTCCGAACCAGAAGAACTCCTTGGAGTAGATGAAGTTCCTGAGAATAGCTGTTAGAAGACACAATAACTAGCGATTGGCAAATGCGACTTACTTGGGGAAGTTGACGCCCTTGTGCTCAAGGGTACCCTCCTCGACGGGGACGGCCTCCTTCTTGGCCTCCTCAGTGGGAGCAGCAGCCTCGGCGACAGCCTCAGCGGGGGTCTCGGTGGCGGCAGCCGGAGTCTCGACGGTCGCGTCAGCAGCGGGAGCGGCGTCGGCAGGAGTCTCAGTGGTCTCGACGGGCTTCGTCTCGGCAGCGGGCTGCTCGGTGGTGGCAGGGACAGTCTCCTTGGGGACTTCGACGGGCTTCTGTTCTTCGGCCATTGTGTCTGGTGTGTGGTTGAGGAAGGGGGGGGTATCAAAAAGTCAGGCGACAGACTTGGGTATCACAATGAAAAGGGGTTAAAACAAAGGCACTATTGAAAGTACTGTATGGGTTCAGAGAGGGGTGGTGTGATCTCTTAGTCGGGAATAGTCAAGAGGGGGGAATAGTGGCAGAAGGAAAAGGAAGACCTGTAAATGGTGGCAGAGGAAAGACGGGAAAGAAGAGAAGAAAAACGGGAGGTCGTGTGGGATGCTGGGGGTACTTATTCGCAAAAGCGTGACAAGAAGAGGCTTTGCCCTTGTCAGGAGGCCCGGTTGAACGAGGTTCACACGGTCCAGCTAGTTAGTCCCTTGCGAAGGAAAAAAGAGGCGTGGCCCCGTTCGGAGTGGCTCCCCGCCGGGTGTGTGAGAGGCACCTCTCTAGATTGGTCGGAGAAAAGAGGTAGGGATGTATCTCGTACAGAGTGTGTCAGTGTCAGCTCGTAGGGCGGCACTGGCTTGGAAGCTGTCTCGTTGCTTGGGTGAAGACAAGGACGGTACGGGAGGCGATACGGTATGGACTGGACGGTGGGCTTGATCCAAACCGTAGAGAGCGCGAGAAGGGGGAAGGGGGCGGGCGGTATGGGGTAGGATGATGGGCTGTGAGGATGCTTGTCTGGGCTTGAGAGCAGTGACCAGGTCCAGGCAAGTGCGACGAAGGTCAAAGGTTTGTCTGGTGGCCGGTCTGCTGAGCAGCTTTGGGGGGGCAAAAAGAGAGGGCGCGGCGTGTGTGTGAGAGGTGTGAGTGACACACACTCTCTCTGTATTGTGTGTGTGTGTGAGGTTCGACGAGTGAGGTGCAATCGACGACAAGGGTCTGGTTCCAAACGGATACTTGGTAGTGGGGGTACTTTCCCTTGCAGTCCCGTCAAACTCGTACTGCCGTATAAGTATCTATCTACAATGGTAGGGCAGTACGTACTTGTACGTACAAGTCAGCAGCCAGTCAGTCATTGTCAAAGACCACACTGACCCTGCATCGCGTCGCCTTGCTCGTATGGTGGTGGAACCTCCCATCTCGTTCCTTCCCTTCGCCGCCCGTGCCTGTCATTGGTGTCTGTTGGTCTGTCTCTTCTGGACTGGTCTGCTCACGACGGCCAAGATTCTGATGTTGTTTGACATTGCTATTTTACGACGGAGCAGGTAGGTATGTATGTAGAGGAATGCCAAGCAACGGGACGATATGTATAGAGAAAGAGCCACCACATGTTCAGGTATACTACTAGACTTTTGCACGTACAGGGAGGGCATGCATCGCAGAATGCTGCACAGGACCAGATACCTTTCCCGGCGCAGGTACCTACCTGCCTACCTACCTTCCTCCTACCTACGGTGCTTTGTACACGGTACTTTGCACTTTAAAATGGGAGCGGGGCGTCGCATCTGGTAGCTCTTTCCTTGCCTGTCAATGCGCTTAGGTGTGTCGCTCGGTTGCCAGGTGGGCGAGATGAGAACGCAGACTGGTCTGTGCAACATGCAAGCGGGTGGGACGAAATTTGCGAGACCCGTAACGGGATCCCTTTTTTTCTACCTAGTGTAAACTACACTACTACACAGGTAGGTGGTAGTCGCGTAGCGTTGCGTTGCGTTGCAGGCTGCGCGCTGTACTATGGAGAGAGAGGGAAGGAAAGGGAAGGAAAGGGAAAGGAAGAGAAAGGAAAGGGGGATCAATCCTAAAGTTTCTGCGCTACATAGTGCTGACGGACAAGAACAGTCAGGCGATCGAGAAAGATGCAGGACGGACAGACGGGAACGACGACGACGACGACGACCGAGGTGAGGATGAGGACAAGCATTTCTATAGGTACTTTGGCCGGCATCAGGGGCTCGTAACCTCCCAGACCCTGCTGCTTTGCCGGGGATATGCCATGTGGGGCCTACCCCTGACCGTCAATCCCAGACGTTAGCAGCCATAATTCATTTACCAATGTTTTTTTTCCCCCTTCTTTCCTTTTTTCTCTTCTGCTTAGAGCCTCTCTGCGAGCGGTGTCACTGTGTCTCTCCCCTGTGCCTGTCGAACGGTCATTCCTCACCGATGCAACGACAGACGCTAAGACGTGATTGCTGTATGTACACTTTGAGAAGAAGGAGAACAGGAATGCGTAAATGAGCGTGAGTATCGTTGAAGAGGGAATAAAACTCGTGGGTGGCAGGAATTCCTCATCTTCCTGTTTATTTGTTTTTTCCCCCCTTCACTTTCCTCTTCTCTCCTCAACAGCCCGGTAACCGCTCAGCCGTTTCGTTTGTCCAGTCGTTTTACCCAATAGAACCCACTCCTTTCATCTTGCAGCCCAGAGCTGGTGGACCAGAACGAGATGGCTGGGTGATTTCGATACGCGCTGAACCTGGACCTAGACCTGGGCGACCGACCCTTTCTCTCCTCCTGTCGAGATAAGGTAGGCAGGGAAAAGGTAAATAGGGGGCGAGCGGCCGTCCGCATCGCGCTCCCTCTCCTCGCTCAATCTTTACAGAGCACACTAGGGAGTAATACTAGCCTGGCCAACCCTCCATCGTCGGCGGGACGATGTATCCGTAATCTGGCATGATTTCCAGCAACGTTTCGCGAAGTGACTCGTGTTGCACAATCGAACCAGCAAGGCCCCCGATTCTGCCTCCTGTATCCGTACCCTCCCCCCCAATGCCGCTCTTTTGCTCACTGCCCTTGCCGTTCCCAACGTTTTCCAAAGTTGGATGGAATATCTGCAGAATAGGTACGGATACCGTTACACTCCAAGGCCACAACGCGACGATCGGAAGTGGATGAGATGCAAGCTGCATAAACAAACCACGGGACATAATGTCCTCTTCTGCTCCCCTGATTGGAATACAGGGGGCCTACCAAGTACGTACATGGGGAAGAGAAGAAAATTCAAAAAAAGAAAGAGGGAAAAAAAAAAGGAAAAAAAAAAGTCGTACAAATACCTACACTACCGACCGGTATGGATACAATCACGATCACGAGAAGAACAACCCTTGAGCTAGACGACTGCACTCGCGTGATGGTCATGCAGCCAGCCCGCGACGGACGTCACACTCTGGGCCTCGACGGTTGCCGTTGATGTGCTCCATTTTCGTGCATTGCATGCTAGCTTTTTGTGTGGCATGACAACCACACAACATTCAACAGTAGCACCAGGCCTGCAACTGGCGCGCATCGCATCCCACCACCTTCCAGGACGAGGGAGGGAGGGACTCTTGACGAACACCACCACCACTACCCGCTCAAGAAGGGCCTACCGGCTGATCATATCCTGCTCTCGTAACTCATCGCATGCGCCGCAGACGTCTCCGACCGGGCCTGGTGTTCCTCTGCCCTACAAGAAAGCACATGGGAGAGAGTGCGGCGTTGCGACCGGCCGCCAAGTGCCGGCATGGCTGGGCGTACATCCGTAGCGCTTCAGATATTCCGTCTTACACCCCCCCTGCTCCAAAAGCCGGTGACCGTTTGTCTAAACTACGCAGGCCGCCGTTTCTTGAGGACTTGCCTCTAAACAACAACCATCACCACGTTGCTTCCGTCGGGAAACATCTCGAAATGAACCGTTCGAGTGCCGCCAAACAAAAAAGAGGAGCGTGTACGCCTGCCCTATTTGGCAAAACCAAAGAAGAAGAAAAGGAGAAAAAGGACAAAACCCCCATGTCAGTCAGGTAAATGTGGTCGTACATCTTCAGTTATCTCAGCGACGACATTCATCACAAAATCTGGTCAGTGAGAGAGTCTCAACGTACGTACGTACGTACAGGTAGGTCACAACTCCACACTTCCCGGTCAAGGAGTTTTTACTTGGCCATCATGCTGTACGGATACATACCTACAGTACTCCGTACTGCACATACCATGGTGAGGAAAGGGGTCTCCTAGGTACTTGCTACTCTTTCGCCCCCACTACTTTGCGACACAAATCTTTGTCCTATCAGGTCGGGGTCTACATGGTCAGAGCGGTAGTGTAGTGTACAGTATCCGTACACTACTCCGTACAAGCACGAGGATGAGGAAAACTAGGAGCCAAAGTGGACCCTTATCCAACCGACCACACCATAGGGCAACAATGGGGAAGACGGAGGGTAATGTACTTGAGATGTGCCGCTAGCCCACTAGCTGCATCCTCGTTAGAACCATGTGACTCAGGACACAGGACCGTCGAGGGCAACAGTCGTTGATCAATCGCCCTGTGCAACTTATCCTGATGCTTGATTGGACTGATTGCCTGTCAGGCTGCACAACAACCTGACTGGCCGATGGGTGATGGATGTCAGCCACGCCTCTCTGACCGTACGCGTGTGGGTGGGTGCGTATCGTCAACCAGCAAGCCGATGGCGCTCTCCTTGGCCATGACACTTGCGCACAAACCAAGTTGGGTAACGAGATATGCGGCAGCCCAACCTGCATAGTATGGGCTTCCTGTTATCTTGATGTGCCCAAGATATATGCTCTTGAGCGACCTGCCTGTCCTGACTCCGTGTGCGCTGGCCCTGTTTGTGGGGGAATCCAAACCCCAGAGAACCCTCAAATCTGGGCTGGGCCATCATAGTAATGCTCTTCATGCATAAAAGGATACAGGTGGGATAGCAGAGCAGGCATTCCTGTAGCCTCATCTTGGTGTTGTTCACCGGCTGCGCATGTCATGCCTCTGCTCCGTATGTTTGGTCCAGATGTGTCCGTCTGATGCGCTATGCGCTCCGTACACCTAATATGGCACCATGCCTGCGCAAAAGGCTGCCTCGCGGGTATCTGGGGCGTTGGCATTCCCAATGGTTGCGGATCAGGAAAAAAAAAAAGGAGAAGTCGTTCAAAGAAGATTCGTCGTCAGACCGGCACGATGGATCCACCAGAGCCAGAGGACGACGGGGACGGCCACTCTTCTCATGACAAGCAGAAACGAAAGCCGCCCCGACGCACAGCCAATCAATCAGAGGTCTACAAGCCCTTGCTTGGCCTCTGGACCCATTCCGCATATTTG